ACGGTTCTTCAAGACGAAGATATTGAGATAAGAAAACTCGGTCCCACTTTATATTAAGTGTCCCTAACTACCATGTACTTTCATCAAAAAAATAAATACAATGTACTAACTGTGTTTATAATGTATTTGAGAACACTTGTGGTGCTTTTGAGTTGGGATAGGGGTTGGGTTATGGACAGGTTTGGTGGCATGGGTAGGTTTAAGGGTAGGTTAAAGCCTGGTTTATACTTCTGCGTCAAGTGACCGGCGTAACCACGGCGCATGCAACGTGCGCAGCTGTGCATTTATACTTCTGCGTGCTGTCTCTGTTGGTCTGCATTAACACTTCCGAAACGCTAGTTGACAGTGAGGTGTAAATGCTCCTCTGTGTCGAGTTTCTTCGCTTCTGTTTTGCTTTTCCTGAACACTTCCGGGATGTACAAGTGGTTCAAACTCACTCATTTTGTGGCAGGAACCGGCGGACGTGCAGCAACTTTAACTATGAGGTAAACACAAAACAAAACTTTCCATCCGGAGCGCCTTTACGGGACTCCACATGTGTAAACAATTGCTTCATCAGATTCGCGCCATTCGCGCGGCTCTCGGTCCCCCCCAGACTCGTCAGCGCTACCAAGCCGACCAATCACAGAGCTTGCATTACGCATCGTTGCGACGTGTAGTTAAATTTTTTGAGAGGTGCACGTCAGCGACGCCAACGGCCACGGCGAAGGGCTATGCGTCAGCGCCGTAGCATACGCCGGCGTTTGACGCAAAAGTATAAATCAGCCTTAAGGTGTAAGGGATGGTCAACAGTGTATTTACAAATGTAGTTACAAAAGATGTTATTACATACATGTATTTTATCAAGCATAAGTATACAGTAAACACATGTATTTACACAATAAGTACGTTTCAACAAACTATTAGTTCCTATGTAAGTACATATTCCTTAAGGCCACAATATAAAGTGGGACTGAAAACTCTGGTTATTTATAGTGAGTTAGGAATCAACTGATTGGATAATTGGTCATGAGCTGATGCTGGAACAGCTGTGAATAATCATAAGCATGTGATCCTCTCGAAATTTGTTTCTAAATAAACCTCACTAAGTGACAAGACTTTTGTCTAAACTAAGTCGGACCTTACTGTGCTAATTAAATCAGTAAAAATCAAGGCATGATCATTTTTTATTGTGGGAAAATAAGCGTAATCTAGAGGCCTTTGCCTTTCATATAAGGATGCTTTCACACCTACACTTTTGTTTGGGAACCTGTCTCGTTTGCCCAGTATGCGCGGTTCGTTTGGCATATGTGAATCCACAAATCGTGCTCGGATCCGCGCCAAAACAATCGCTTTGAGATCACTTGAATGGGGTGATCTCAGCTCGATTAAAACGAACTCTGGAGCGGATTGATTGTAGTGAGAAAGCATCCGAGCGCGGTTATATCACACTGTTTTATGGATATGTAATAGGCATACGGCTATATGAAGAGAGAATTATGAGTAGCCCGGGAGGCCATTACAGACATCCCAAGTGTTCTGGAAGTTTCAGGAGTCTCTCGCAAAGCACAGAGACTCCCGAATGCCCACAAACGAGTGATAATCTCCCGAAAATCACGTAAAGTCCTTTAATACGTCGCGCACCCTTCTCACCCCTCCCCACCGCATCCCTCCTCGCTCTTCTGACACGTCGCGCGCACTCTGTCAAACACCACCAAACCACCACCTCTCCTGACAGCTGAGCGGGACGCTGCATTCTACAAAATAAACCGTGAAACTCTGACCAATGTGAGGAGAGTTTACTCACACGTGATTTGTTTTAGCTCTTTTGGTCCGTTTAGAAATTTTGAACCCAAGCTCATTCTGGAAACGTAGCCCCGCGGACGTTTCTGGAGACCGCGATTTACGTGGCCGGAGGTATGTAAAGGCCGCGTTTGATTTTTTTCGAGCGAACGCCGTGGGGCGGTGTGGCAGCGCTCCGCCCCTCCTCTTCGCGCTCGCCGGCCGACGGCTCGCCTCCGATCGAGTCCGGGGAACAGCAGGTTCCGGAAATCAGGTGAGACGAAAAACGGAATCCGAAAAATGAGGGCGAGAACGTGGCGGGATCCGAAAACGCGGTCGAAATCGAAGACGAGGGCTTTTGCTTTTTTTTTTTTTTTTTTTCCCCGATCCGATGGCTTTTCGCGCGAGAACGGCACGGGCGCGAACGCCGCGCGCACAGCGGCCTCTCGCGGATCTGCAAAAACAAAAAAATGCTCAAATACGTACCTCCCGGGACGTAAATCGCGGTCCGCAGAAACGTCCGCGGGTTGAAATTTTGCCGTGTGAAAGCGAACCGCACCAAGAGCAAAGAGCAACAATGTAACAATAAGCTCTGTTTCGGAACAACTGAGGCCCCGTTTACACTAATGTGTTTTCGTTTTAAAACGCATAAGTTTTGCTACGCTTACGCCATCCATCCACACTACACCGGAGTTCTCGAGCGCCGAAAATGGAGCATTTTAAAAACGCTGGAGACGCCGTTTTCATTCGGAAACGCTGCTGCTCCGTCTCAGTGTGGATGAGGGAAAATGGAGACATCTGATAACGGAGGCGGGGCTGCTGAGATTCGCTACCTGATTGGGGCTTTTGTGTCATTGCGTATCCTTCCCTTATTCGTCAAGCCCCTATCACATGACTATAACACATGACTTTAATGCTACCAGAAAACAGCAGACCAGCCTTCACTGTGAACAACAACATGGACACAGAAATCTCGTCTCCTCGTCGTCTGTCCACAAAAATACCTCTCTTGGTTTCTTTGCCATCGCATTTAATGTTCAACCGGCGTTTGTTGACTAACAGTAACCAAATGCCGAGCAAAGACACATGCTTCCTGTTTATACTAGAACGCGCATGCCAGGAGTGCGCGAATGGTCACGTGATATACGTTTTTGGTGGTGTAGTGCGGACGGATTTATGTTCAGAAACGTTAGGTAAAATGCAAGTGTGGACGTGGATCGTTTTTGATCTAAAACGCCATTTTAAAACTAAAACGCACTAGTGTAAGCGGGGCCTGAGTCGATTCACAGGTGTAAAAGCACCCTAAGACACTTCTGAAACCAAATGATCAACTGGAAGTCAAGTTATTATTTGCTGTTCCTAAAACTTGGATAGGCGACAAGACTTTCGTCAGGTATAAAAGCATTGAAAAAAATAAAAGAGAGAGAAAACTGAAGTCTGGATTCATTCACAGGTGACCCCTCAGGCGTTCATCTCGACCTCAGTATGTATCCAGCCAAAAACACACACACACACACACACACACACACACACACACACACACACACACGCACACACACACACACACACACACACACACAATACAAAACACAACGTCATCTTATAGACAGACTAATATCCTGGAATGGATGTGAAAAACTGCTGAACGTCTTTCCGAACAGGTGGAGCAGGAGCGGAGACACATCACACAGCTGGTACTCCATCACAAGAGTCTATGACATCACTGAAACACGACTGATTTGTTAGCCTTACGTCAACTTTCATGCGTGTTTTCTTGGCTAGTCTAGGATTTACTGAATGCTTGAGCTCAATACGGAAAATATTTCTCACGGCAGGTTTAAAGCTGCCATTAACACACATACAGTAATAATGTTGTGCAGCTTTGTTTTCCTCTTATGTCTGTACAGGAGACCACCATACAGTCAGCTCACTTGCAGATGCAGGTAGGTGGCTTTCACTAATCTGTTTGTGCACATTTTCATCATATATTCTTCTGTTTAGGAGCTTTAGTACAGGATTTTTTGTTTTTTCTGTTATTATTAGTTGGCGCACTTGGTTTAAGTGACCACACTCTCAGTCCTTACGCTGATACGACTGGTAAGCAAACACTATCGGCATATTTCTTTCAAATAAATGAATAAAAGACGTACTGTGAAATTATATAGGTATATAAGATAACATTTCTTCAAAATTACAAATATTTTACTTTGTTTTTATTTTATTTTATTTTATTTTATTTTATTTTATTTTATTTTATTTTATTTTATTTTATTTTATTTTATTTTATTTTATTTTATTTTATTTTATTTTATTTTATTTTATTTTATTACAATTGCTCAGAATAATTAATACAGCTAATTCCAACAAGTACTGACTAACTCTTCTGAAGTTAAAACATTGCATAGTCTAAAATGTAATGTAAACTTGACTGAAAACATTGCATTTTTAATTATTTTATACTTGATAATAAATGATAATGTTTTATTCATTCATTCATTTATTTTGGCTTAGTCCTTTTAATAATTAGAGGTCGCCACAGTGGAATGAACCGCCAACTTATCCAGCATATGTTTTACACAGCGAATGCCCTTCCAGCTGCAACCCAACTCTGGAAAACATCCATACACTCTTGTATTCACACACATACACTACAGACAATTTTAGTTTATTCAATCCACCTAAAGCGCATGTGATTGGATTGTGGGGGAAACCGGAGCACCCGGAGGAAACCCACACCAACACAGGGAGAACAGGCAAACTCCACACAGAAATGATAACTGACCAAGCCGGGGCTCAAACCAGTGACTTTCTTGCTGTGAGAAGATTGTGCAACCCACCACCAAATTTTATTTTATTTTTTTATTTTATTTTGGTAAAAAAATATATTTTATTTTATTCATTATATTTTATTACATTTTATGTTATTTTATTGACAATAACAATTGCTCATGATTATTAGTACAGGTTATTCCACCAATTTAAGTTAAAACATTGGTATTGTGTCATCTAAAATGTAATGTAAACCTGACTAAATACATTTTTTATGGATATAAATGATAAATGTTTTATTTAAAAATTAAATATTTTTCCTTAAAATAATACATAGTAAAACAAAAAGGATCTTTTACTCAAACACCCAGGTAACAATTTTAGGTTCTAAAAACCTTTTTTTTACATTCCCAGATTTGTTTAATGTTTTAACATTATTCATTTTTTCATTTTCTTTTTGGCTTAGTCCCTGTTATTAATTTGGGGTCGTATTAACATTATTTTTTGCAACAAAAAAATCATATTGCTTCAGTCGCATGTCATAACAATGTTTTCAGAACATAATTTAAAACATCTGCTTCACATTATAATGATGTTCTCGAAATGTTTTTCTATCAGCAACATTCATCAACAATAACTAACGATCTAAGAATTTTGGTTACCGGAATGTTGCAGAAATGTTATTTTAATAACGTTGCATACAAACATTTACACAACTTTTAAGGAAGGCTCGATGAGTATAATCGCAAGTTAAAATTTTCTTTGTCTCTTTATTTAAAAATGTTACCTACATTACAGTCATAGTTTATTATTATAATTATGGTTTACATCAATTATATTTCCTAGTTTTTGATGCATCTCTTTATTTAAGATATATTTAAAACACTCTATATATAACTTTACTTTGTATAACTTTACTTTTTAAGTAAAATGTGCTTCATAAATAAACTTGCCTTGTTTTCTCAAAGGACATGATGGTGTCACTGGTGCAGGAGCACAGACAGATATGGCAGGTATTATCTTTAATATTTTACCATGTGTATTTAACAATCATTATGCTTTTTGTGTTTGTAAAAGTACAAAATGGTGCATTATTTTTCAGCAGCTATGAGTTTTCTTAGCATAAGCTACCAGCTACTTGGAGAATAACAATATTACAAACTGTGATTTGAATTTTAAAAACCAGACAAAAAGATGAAAACACAAGGCTGTGTATTAACAGCTCTAATCAAGGAAAGTACTGCAGTCATATTGTTACCCAGGGGAGTTGAGTGACAACGGAGTGAGGATGCATGTGCAGCTTTATTTAGAATCGTCAGACAGGCAATGGTCAATCAGAGGTGCAAACGAGTACAGGATTATCCAGAAGCATAGTCAAGTCACAGGCAAATGGTAAATACAGGTGGCAAACAACGAAAACAAGGAAACAAGGCAAGGGTCAGAGAACACGGAAAGACTAGACTAGGAAATGCTTCGTAGTGTAACAATAATAAGACTCAGCAATGTGTGAGGGAATGTAAGCAGTGTATATAGTTCAAATAATCAGTCTTTGATCAGCTTCCAGCTGTGTGTGTGTAATCATTGGTGACCCGGAAACAGGTGTGTGTGAGGTGCATGATGGGCTTTGTAGTTTATACGGTGACAGAAACATAGTTTAGGTGATGGTGCATGCTTACCAGCGATCCACATGCCTACAGCCTTGTTTGTTTTATTTCGGCTAGAATAAAAGTAGTTTTTAATGTTAAAACCATTTTAAGGTCAAAATTATTAGCCCCCTTAAGCATTGTTTTTTTTATTGTCTACAGAACAAACCATTGTTATACAATAACTTGCCTAATTAGTCAAGCTTGCCTAATTAACCAAGTTAAGCCTTTAAATGTCACTTTAAGCTGAATACTAGTATCTTGAAGAGTATCAAGTTAAATATGATATGCTGTCATCATGGCAAAGAGAACTCATTCTTTTGTAAGAAATAAATAACTTGGTCAATGTTGTGCATCAGGTGCTGCAGGTGAGCCAGTGACTGATGGACAGGCTCAAATTGACATGACAGGTGAGAAAAACACACACAAATACCCTTCAAATAAAGGTTAAACATCTATATCATGCCATCTCTTATTCTTCAGGACAGGGACACTTAGCTGTGACTGACGGCATGCCAAATTACACAGGTGAGCACGTTTCCTCCGCACATCCAAACAAATGTCAACCTAGCACGGTTTCATGTGTCATGTGTGTTTCCGAAAAGCAGATTCTGTGCTCGCGACCGGGACTGGATTTACAGGTGAGAGAACTTTACATTACTGAACCAAACTACTAGACGACCAAGACACAAACAAGATATAAATCATTCCAGGAAATTTTGAAATGTGAAAGTAGGCCAGTCATAACGTTTAATTAATTGTGCAAAACATAAAGTGACCTCAATCATTTTTTTGGTGACACAATATAAAATTCATGATGCTCAAATATTTTTGCGGCTTGTTCAAACTACTTGTTTGTAGTTTTTTTTTAGCCAAAACCCAGCTAGAATAGACAGGGAAACGCTCACTAAAGTGAAAACAAGACTCAGTCAAGGATGTGTGTGTGAATGGTTTCTATATAGTCCGAATAATCAGTGATGAAATGCAGCTGTGTGTGTAATCAGGAGGTGAGAGAAAACAGGTGTGTGACTGCAGGATATGATGGGATTTGTAGTCCGTTTCAGTGGCAGATGTGGTGTGTAGAGTGCTCTTTAGTGTGTCTAGTGAGCACTCTACTTGGTGACTGTGACAATATTGCTAGTGCATATTGCTACTCTTGAGGTGAACAGTTAATTTAATCCACTGAAATTTGAATATTTGTTTTTGTTTTGTAATCGTTAATCAAAGTCTGAGCAGTTGCTTCCTCGTTTGGAGTGGCGGTGGTTCTCTGTTGGCATCAGTTTGACGCTTCAGCCACAATTTTCTTAGCCACGCTCCTCTTACCATTAGTTTGCTATGAGGGAATGATGCGCAAAAGAAAGCCCCGCCCCCTACTCAATATTCCATTTCAGTTGAAAGCACATCAACATACTGAAATAAAAGTGTCAGCAACTTCACGCTGGTTTAAAGAGGTAATAATGTTGACAACTAAAGTACTCCTAGGTGTTTTAAGTTACAAAGCTAAGTCAAAGCTGGTTTAAGATAAGTCTAAGCTGGTTAGAGTTTAATCTTCACTTAGCTAACAAAATACCCATTATTAAAGTAGTTCTGTTATGACAACTCTCTGAGAGATTTAGCCTGGTAATAAATTTGTACATGGCAATGACTGATGTTTTGGTCTTGGTTGAATATACCTGCTATGCTGCTGCTGCTTTTGCTGTACCAAGACTTGCTACTGCCAGTATATTCACAGATATACAGGCTTATTTGGAGTCCCATTTTATTAGTTATATAATCTATCTATCTATCTATCTATCTATCTATCTATCTATCTATCTATCTATCTATCTATCTATCTATCATCTATCATCTATCTATCTATCTATCTATCTATCTATCTATCTATCTATCTATCTATCTATCTATCTATCTATCTATCTATCTATCTATCTATCATCTATCTATCTATCTATCTATCTATCTATCTATCTATCTATCTATCTATCTATCTATCTATCTATCTATCTATCAATCTATCTATCATCTATCTATCTATCTATCTATCTATCTATCTATCTATCTATCTATCTATCTATCTATCTATCTATCTATCTATCTATCTATCTATCTATCTATCTATCTATCTATCTATCTATCTATCTATCTATCATCTATCTATCTATCTATCTATCTATCTATCTATCTATCTATCTATATATATATATATCTATCTATCTATCTATCTATCTATCTATCTATCTATCTATCTATCTATCTATCTATCTATCTATCTATCTATCTATCTATCTATCTATCTATATATATATATATCTATCTATCTATCTATCTATCTATCTATCTATCTATCTATCTATCTATCTATCTATCTATCTATCTATCTATCGTGACATGTATGATGCGTGTATGATATTTTGGTATCTCACTGTTCTTGTCAAACTTTCAGATGCCTCAGAGACACATAGTATCATGGTTCAGACAGACTTACCAGGTAAATCAGGTTTAAAACCCTCTGTCTCGTCAGCTGGACTTACTGCGCAGGTGAGCTGCCCTTATAAAAATATACCATGGTAAACGTAGTTTCTGCAGCCAAAATAATGGACAAGTTCTGAAAACCCGCTTAAAGGGGACTCTACATGATTATATAGTGGGATTATATATAGTACATTGGTGGAAACTATGATTACCAAGGTCAATTTTTGCAAGGGATCGCTTACAAAGCAGAAGAAAAGGTTAAAAAAGTTGATGGTCAAAGTTAAAAATGAAACTTTTCTGCAGTCACAGGGGGTCCATTCACAGCGGGTTCCTCACAGACAGATGCCATGGGGACAGGTGGGTGAAAACACACCATCAGGGTAAATAAATGTATACAGTTGCTTTTCCACTAGTTTTTTTTTATGGCCCCACTTTATATTAAGTGGACTTAACTACTACATACATCAAAATATAAATACAATGCTCTTTTATTGTTCATAATGTATTGCAGAACTCTTGAGATCGAGTACGAGTTAGGGTTATGTTTAAACTAAACAAATAGACTGTCAAAAAAGGCTTAAAAACAGCTAGATACCCAAGAGATTCAAGACATAGCTCTTCCTCTTAAATGGCAAGTATTTCATTGTCACCTTTGATAACCCAGAGTCTTTGGAGAATCATCTTTTTGGCTGCAATTAGGCTTTCTGTTGAGTTAAAGGGAGGGCGTCCATTATATTAAAATATCCACACAAAAAAAAAATAAATAAAATAAATAAATTATAATAAAAACTGGATACAGATTAAATTCTTACTTGCATGACTTTATTATATCTCAAAACTTCTATATCTCCTAAAATGCCTTAATCTAACAGGTCAAATTCATCAAATCGGTAGTTCTGACATGAATACAATCATAAACCCTTCTGAATTATTAGCCCCCCTGTATATTTTTCCCCAATTTCTCTTTAACCGAAATGTTCAACCCATTTCTATTCATAATAGTTTTAATAACTCATTTATAATAACTGATTGATTTCATTTTTGCTGTAATGACAGTATATAATATTTGACAAGACAATTGTTTTTAGCTTAAAGGGACATTTAAAGACTTAACCAGGCTAAATAGGCAGGTTAGAGTAATTAGGCAAGTCATTGTATAACAGTGGTTTGTTCTGTAGACAATGGAAAAATATATCACTTAAAGGGGCTAATAATACTGACCTAAAAATGGATTTAAATAAATTAAGAACTGCTTTTATTCTATCTGAAATAAAAACAAATAAGACTTTCTCCAGAAGAAAAAATATTATAGGAAATACAGTGAAAAATTCCTGAATCTGTTTAACATCCTTTGAGAAATATTTAAAATTAAAATAATACTAATTCACAGGGCTAATAATTTTGACTTCAACTGTATGTCCAAACGTCACATGTTTTGTTCTCCTCTAACAGGCCAGCCTGGTGCTACGGAGCAGACACAGCCAGCTGGTAAGCTTCATTAGAGTTCACACATGCTTCACTTCAGTCACAGTCACTTTCACTCCACTGACATGTCAGATGTGTCAGTCCAACATATTGCCAGATTACAGTCTTAATCGCAGATCTTTATTGGTGTCCAAACAACCAGACAGCAAATCTCAAATACCCAAAACCTGTTTTTTTCCCCAAAAAATTGTTTTATTAAAATATCTACATAAAAAACTCCACCAAAAATGTGTTATATGCTGCTGAACAGATGCTCAAGAGCTCTTCTGTTTTGTCTGTTTTGCTTGTTCTGTCCAGTATCAGCAGGTGAACAGTACCACACATCTGGTCAGGGTCCTGAAGGTGGGTCTGAGATTCTCCATCTCGCTACAACATGAAAACATGAACATAATCACGAGGCAGACGCAGAACAAACACAACAAAGCATCTCAGAAATATCAGGATTTTTTTTTTTTTTTAGAGATATACTACGGTTCAGAAAAGAAATCATTCAATTTAGTGATGCATAAAATATCGGTGGCATATCGGCAGATAAATGCTTTATTTATTTTTTTATTATTTCCCTAATAACAAAATCAAATTTTTCTTTAAGATATACCACTGTTTAAAAGTTTAGGATTGCTAAGTTTCTGTTTTTTTAATTATTATAATATTCATTCAATGTAGTGATGCACAATATATCGGTGGCCATATCGGCTAATTAATGCTTTTTATAAACGTTTTAAAATATTATTTCCCCAATAAGAAAATCAGATTTTTCTTGAAAGATATACTACTGTCCTGAAAAATAATGCATTAAATTTAGTGGTGCACATTATATCGGTGGCTATATCGGTATCACTGATAATACATTATTTTATTATTAAGATTTTTTTTTTCTTAAAGATATACTACTGTTTAAAAGTTTATGATTGCTAAGGTTTATTTATTTATTTTTCTTTATTAAGCAAAAAAAAAATTAAAAATAAAAATCATTAAATTTAGTGTTGCACTATATATCGATGGCTATATCGGTATCTCCGATAATGGGTATTTTTTTTTAGATATTATCTTACAAAAAAGAAAATAATTTTTTTCTTAAAGATAAACTATTGAAGTTTATGACTGCTAAGGTTTGTTTATTTATTTTTCTTTATGTTATTAAGCACAAATGTATTACATTTAGTGATGCACAATATATCGGTGGCCATATCAGTATAATGCCTTTTTGTTAAATATCATCTCCACAATCAGAAAATCAGATTTTTCTTAAAGATATCCTACTTTTCAAAAGTTTAGGATTGCTAAGGTTTATTATGTTTTATTTTATTTTACTATTCATTCAATGTAGTGATGCACAATCTATCGGTGGTCATATCGGCTAATAAATGCATTCATAAATGTTTTAAAATATAATTTCCCCAATGAGAAAATTTGTTTTTTCTTAAAAGATATAGTACTGTTACGAAAAAGAAATCATTAAATTTAGTGTTGCACAATTTATCGGTTGCTATATCGGTATCACTGATAATAAGTTTTTCAAAAATATCATCTCCCCAATAAGAATTTATTTATTTTTTCTTAAAGATATACTATTGTTTAAAAGTTTATGATTGCTAAGGTTTATTTATTTATATTTCTTTATTTTATTAAGCAAAAAATAAATAAATCATTAAATTCAGTGGTGCACAATATATCGTTGCCATATCGGTATCACTGATAATGCTTATTTCTTAAATATCATCTCTTCAATAAGAAAATCAGATTTTTCTTAAAGATATACTACTTTTCAAAATATTAGGTTTCTAAGGTTTATTTTTTAATTAGTTTTCTTTTTAAGTTTAGTCATGCATAGTATATCGGTATCGGCTAATAAATGCTATTGTTTTGTATCATCTCCCCAATTAAAAAAATCAGATTTTTCTTAAAGATTTACTTCTGTTTCCAACTTTAGGATTGCTAAGGTTTATTTTGTATATATTTATTTTATCCAGCAAAAATATATTAAATTTAGTGACGCACAGTATATCGGCTTATTAATGTTTATTTTTAGTATTATTTTCCCAATAAAAAAAAAAGAATTTTTCTTAAAAATATACTACTGTTCCCAAGTTAGAGATTGCTAAGGGTTATTTTGTATGTATTTATTTCAATCAGCAAAAATGTATTAAATTTAGTGATAAACAATCTATTGGCTAATAAATGTTTATTTTTTAAATAATGTCTCCCCAAAAAAGAAAAGAACTTGTCAATATGCATTATTTTTTCAAATCAGAACTGCAGTTTATTAATAATTTCGGAAAAAAAGATCTTACAGTTTTCTAATAAAATCAATGTATTTGTTAGTCTTTTGTAATTATCCTTGGAAAAATATCGATATTTCTATTTATATGTAAAAAAATAAATATCTGCATAAAAATATTTATATTTTCTGCCTGTATATCGGTTATTGGCTTGCAAATATGAAGTGTTATCAGTTATGCTCTCTATAATTAATTCCATCAAAAGAAACGCTCTAATATGAATATAAAATATTCACGTTAAAGGGATTTCTGAAGCACCTTGTGGCCATGACAAGTAGAATAATGATCCTGATAATTACAGGAAATTTTTCATTTTAAACTAAATAAAAAACAAAGAGCAGTTCATATAATATGTATCATTTTTTTTCATTTCTTTATGTATTTTCAGACCAGAGACTTAATGAAAGAATTCCAAGTCCAAAACCTTTAACAGAAAGCACATTAAAAGCATACTAAGTGATTCAAATGTTGTCTAAACGATGTTTGCTGCAAACCGCAGAACTGTGTGCTATTAATGAACTGATGCGTGTGCTTTCTGAAAGGTGCAGAAAATGTGGAACTGGAAGATTCCTGCTGATTTCCACATGAAGCCGCGCGTGAGGTTTCTGCGCTACAGATTTCAGTGTACAGACCAGTACGCCTGGCAGAGGAACCGCCAACCGGCCCGCTAGACTTTAGCTCTCCTTTGTGCGTATGTGTGTGTGCGCGAGTGTCTGTTTGTCTGATTTTGGACTATTTAAGCATTCAGAGGATATACTGTAACTTAACGTTTTATTGCGTCTGTTTATAAAAGTGCCCTGTAAGTATTTCATTCATTGGGTAAAAGTCAAACTTTGAGCGAGAGATTATTCGAAATTCGAAATGTATTTGTGTAAATTCAATGGTTTTATTTTTCCTCCCCCATAAATGTTGCTACTGTGTTTTCCATGCCTAGATGTTTGAGCGATATTCTTCCCAGATGTCACGAATTGTATATTGCTGAATGTGTCATTTGAAGATAATCTTTACATTAAATTGAACATCTATTTTGAACATCAAATTCAACAATTGTCGTTTTAAATTCTGCGAGGAACCAGGTTAACCTAAACGGTTTACCAACTGAGTATAGTTTGAACTAGGTAATTACCATGAACATCATATAACAGCATTGTTTATTATTGAAAATTGGTGGTCCACCAACCCTAGTCAAGGTAACTATGGATGGTTTATTAGTTGATTCACTATAAAAACCAGTTTGGAAAATGCTAAGAATTTTTTTGAAGGTGTTTTAACCCTAATTAGCTTGCCCAAGACTATCTAAACCAGTCTGCTCAAGCTATTGACCATTAAAGACCAATAAACCAGTTTAAAATGAATAAATCTGGGGAGTTTTTGATTCTCTTAAGTCTAAAACAGCTGGTGACAAAAAAGTATACTAACATTAAATGCTACTGACCACAAAGGGCCAACAATACTAGTTTATAACATTCAGTATTTGGAAAAATTGGTAATTTTCCAGTCTTAACCAGGTTACCAAAGGATGGTCAACTATCTAAACCAGCTAATGACCAATAAAGGACCAACATACTAGTATAAAACATACAGTTTTTTTTTAAAAAAGTGATCAACCACCAGCTCAATGTATTAAATTTAAACATTTAATACATTAAAATGTATTAAATTTAGTGATGCACAATCTATTGGCTAATAAATGTTTATTTTTTAAATAGTGTCTCCCCCAAAAAGAAAAGAAATTGTCAATATGCATTATTTTTCCAAATCAGAACTGCAGTTTATTAATAATTTCGGAAAAAAAGATCTTACAGTTTTCTGAAAAAATCAATGTATTTGTTAGCCTTTTGTAATTATCCTTAGAAAAATATCTATATTTCTATTTATATGTAAAAAAATAAATATCTGCATAAAAATATTTATATTTTAGTTTATAACATTCATTATTTGGAAAAATTGGTAATTTTCTAATCTTAACCAGGTTACCAAAGGATGGTCAACTATCTAAACCAGCTAATGACCAATAAAGGACCAACATACTAGTATATAACATACAGTTTTTTAATAAAAGTGATCAACTACCAGCTCAAACAAGGTTAACCAAGAGAGTTGATAAGCTGGTAGACCACATCAACCAGCTTTTAACAATAAAGTTCCAACATACTCTTTTAAAAGTATGTAAAAATGGTTGATCTACCAAGCCTGACCAGATTAAACAAAGCATCTGATCAACTGATTAGACCAGTCGCGTTCTCAAACTTTTTTCACCAAGTACCACCTCAGAAAAAAATGGTCTCTAAGTACCACCATAATGACCAGTAATGAAATAAAGCAGTGAAGTTGGCCAAATTAAGCAGCTACAGCACTGCACAGTTCAAAAACAAGTTATATTCATATTTATACTTTTGATAGATTTTTAAATATATGTTGCATGTACATATGACGTATTTGTAAAACTTTTTGAAAGATAAACATTAACTATGTAGATTGCTTGGGAACCCGTTTTTCTTAGAGGATGTCAAGCTGACAGAACATTGCTGCACTCTGATACGAGTTTTATTAATGGAGAAAATTAAGAAGCACTGCAGTGTTTGGGTGTTCTGTGTTTGAGAAAATTAGTCTAACGAAGTTATATTCTGTTTAAAATATGAAGCTGATCAGTTGATTCTTGTCACGTCACTCGTGGTGCGGCATTCTAAAAAGTTAAGATGTTTTAAACTGGGTACGCCTGGAATACGCAAGCATGTTGTGCTGCTGTTCTTACAAATTTTTCTAGCCTGTGGGTTAAATTTTGACGCTCAAGTGACCGAGATGCAACAAGAGAATGAGGTCATTTTTAAAAATTGTATTAATTTTGTCTTTTATTACTCAGTGATTCACTACCACTAGAAATGAGCCCCCATACCGCTAGTGGTACACGTACCACAGTTTGAGAACCACAGGATTAGACCATATAATCCAGTTTTTGACCAGCTACTGACCACAAAAGACCAACAATACTAGTTTATAACATTCAGTTTTTGGAAAGATTGGTAATTTACCAATCCTAAATAGGTTACCAAAGGATTGTCAACTATCTAAACCAGCTAATGACTATAAAGCACCAACATATTAGTTTATAACATAGGATTTATAAAATAAAATTGGTGGTCCTCAAGATACTCTTCTAGCTGATCGACTATCTAAATCAGTCAATAATTATAAAGGACCAACTGGAATCCATGAAAGATCAAGGGAAATAAAAACGAAACTACGTTCAAATACTTTCAAAAACATTTTATTTGAAACATACCAATACACAAAGTGTTGTTCACATGCGTAATAAAATAATTTATGTCTAATATTAATGTCTCTCTGGCTATGACAGTCATTCAATGACTAAAATATGACTGCAAATGATCAGAATTGACATTCGTTCCTCTCTCCGTCCATCCGAAACAATAAAGATGTTTGAACGACAGACGTCTACAGGGCAGAGCATGTGTACTAATCACACTCAAAAACACGAGCTCAATTCAGGCTTTTGGTTTCCAATTTGCACAACAAGCCCAGAAAAACAAAACAAAACAAAATAAATCACTCAAAAATATTCGAATAAAAAAAATCGTCAATGCAGAAGAAACTTGTAGAAGTCCTAAAACAGATATCGTTTAATAATAATAACAAAAATAGTGCCTATACTGAGGACTTTTATGTGACATTTATTTTTATTAGATGGAATATAGCCGGATGTGCATATAATTCATCTATTATTTTCTCTACTTCCGTAATGCAAAAAAAAAACAAACAAACAGAAACGAAGATTTCAAAATAAAAAGCAGCAGTGTGTTGCCGTCAATCAGTTAGGAGTTGAATTATTGCACAAATTCTATAATCGGACCGTCCCAGGTACACACCGGGTGCTTAAAAATGCACAGAAAAATGACCTGTCATTATAGAAATACACAGATTGTGTATCTCATCTCTGCCGAACGTCAACACATTCGTTTCGCCCGAACAAATGCAGACTTCAAACTATTTATATCCTCAAACGTACATCCTCTACACAGCATCGCTGGCTGTCCAGAACTTCCCAAAGATTTAGTACAAAAACAGCGCTAAATATAAACTAACACACGGCATCATCTCAACCCCGGACGTCATGTGATGAACAACTATGGCTTTGACAACAGTTGCACATTGATTTTTGATGCTTGTTCCACGTTTGTCTGATTTAATCAATTCATATTTTGCCTATATAATATTTATATACACATTTCTTTTTGTTTTTTGCTTTGAATCTCAAAATCCTTGCAATTTACACTGCGAAGAAATCCTGAAAACTGAGTACGATAATCCAGAGTCACAGCATAATTAAATTCGAAGAATAATAGACGTATAGAAGCAGAAAACGCACGTAAAGCTGGACTGAATTGCGCAGATCTCGCTGTAATCCGGATGAATAAAAGTGAAGCGTGGTGGATAATGTAGTATTACACATTTCTTTTGAGTTTTTCTGACAGTGAATCTACGTCGCTTACAAACAAAAGCTTATTCAGATGTTTCGACTCGAAATCATGAATCTTTTCTATTGCCGACTAAAAGTGAAGCGAGTTAATGGCCAGCCCTGACGTGTTACATAAACGACTGCCCAGAAAATGAACACAATGCAGAGAATAACAGGTTAAAAGCCCACACAGACGTGAATCCCTTTATTAAAGCTGCTCTCTCTATGATGGTTATGTCAAAAGTACTGAATTTGGTACCAATTAGTACAGATTAATAAAATATGTGACAATACCAGCACTTCCCGCTAACATTCACTCTCATTTTTAAACACTGCAGAGTGGGTATTGTGGTCAGTGTATCTTTTGGTCATTGAATTTTCAATTTAGGAACTAATAATGAAAAACGAAAAAAAAAAAAGATTTTAGTTTTTAAAACTAAAATAAATAAATTATTATCTGGTTTCGAAATATAAACAAAACAAGTCTGTATTTGTTTTTATTTTTGTTATTTTTCTGGTGATTTTATTTTTTGCTATTCAAAATAAAAAATACAACTAAAAACATTTTTGAATTTTGTTTTTCCGTTTTTCACTATAAAAGAGAAAAACGAGCCGTTTTTTGATTTTTGTTTTCAAACTCATTGAATTTCAATTTTTGTTTTATAATTTTAAAACGAAAATTAAAAAAATGACTCGTTTTTTGTTTTTCAATATCAGTTCCTAAATTGAAAATCCAATGACCAAAAGATACCTATTGTGTTTACCTGTTCAATAGATATGACTGGAGTGTTTGAAAGCAGTGCTTAATCAGAGGATCTGTCAATAAGCAGATATATAAGCTGATCATTACAGCCAGTCTCAGCCAACATACCTTACTTACTGTAGATGTATCTTTATTTGGTGGTAGAATTAGTGTCTATTGTTATGGTTTAATGTAAGCGTGTCTTTTCAATTGATTTTGGTATTGCGTCACTAATTTAAAATGAGTAAAAACAACACAATTTTATGTTCAATCCACTTCAATTTGTAAAAACATAATAAGCAAATTTAATTCCTTCATGTTTTCATAACACAAAATGATTTTTTACAGTGTATTGTTTTAGTTTAATGTATTGTTTTGATGATGATTTAATGTAAATTTGTCTTTTTTTTTTGGACGAGTAACCACTATGTTGATAGTGGCTAATGGGGATCTACATAATCAACAATAAACCTGTACACGAACACAATGGCCAATCAGATATCCTTAAAGGGATAGTTCACCCAAAATGATCATTTATAGTTAATTTATCGTAGCTAATTTACCCTCAGGACATTTAAGATATAGGTGATGTTTGCTTTCTTCAGTAGAACATTAAAAAAGAGTTTTAGCTGGATATGTGGTCCTTGGTGATTCGTAAAGACCATTTTGAGGGGTATAAACAACCATCATGGTCCTAATGTATTTCCCACATTTAATTTTTAATTTCGATAAGCTTCCGAGAACCCAAAAAGGTCAGCATATTGAAAATGTTATGACGTCATTTTAACGTTAAGATATGATTGAATTGTCTCTTGTTGACATAGTTTGACAACAAACAGGAGATGTGAATGAACCAACGACGACATCACTTTGAAATGGTCGAAAGTGTCAACGTTTACTTTCTTTTTTTAGCTTAAAGCAGGGGTCACCAATCCTGGTCCTGGAGGGCCGGTGTCCCTGCAGGGTTTAGCTCCAACTTGCCTCAACACACCTGCCTGGATGTTTCAAGTATACCAAGTAAGACCTTGATTAGCTTGTTCAGATGTGTTTGATTAGGGTTGGCGCTAAAATTTGCAGGACACCGGCCCTCCAGGAACAAGTTTGGTGACCCATGGCTTAAAGCAACACTTTAATTGTTTTTATTCTGGAAATAGGCTCATTTGACAAGTCATCTGGAGTTAAAATGTTGAGTTTTACCCAGGGATATATATATATATTCAGCCAATTTATGGTTCTGGCGGGAGTTAATTGTTTTAGCTTAGCTTAGCATAAATCATTAAAATGGATTAGACCATTAGCATCTCAAAAATGACCAGAGAATTATTTAGAGCTATTATCCTATTTAAAGCTTCTCTCTTTTATAGATACATCATGTACTAAGACTAACAGAAAATTAAATGTTTTTATTAGGTCAATACGGCTAGGAACTACTTTTTCCAGCGTAATAATAAAGAAACTTTGCTGCCATCCCAATGGCTGCAGCAGGCACAACGATATTACACAGTCCCTGAAAATACCCCCAGCTAGAAAAATGGAAATTTAAATTAGTAAATGATCAAAACTTGATACATTTTTAAAACTTTTTTTCATTTTAGTTTAAGCGAGATGCTAACGGTCCAATCCGATTCAATGCTTTATGCTAAGCTAAGCTAAAAGTGCTCCTGCCAAACCCAAAGATAGACTGAATTGTTAAAAAATAAATAAATAAAACGGTAAGACATCGATTTACCTCTAGAAGACTTGTAAAATGAGCCTATTTGCCATAAAGGAGAGTGTTCCTTTAAAAACAGATGCATGCAAACAAGTTTGTCAATCTATCCCTGTGGCTCCTGATGATACTAAGAATTGAAACAATCATTCTGTGCAACAAATTGAACATTTACAGTATTATAAGCTTTATTCCAGACACGTTGTGGCGCGCACACATTTATCCAAATTCAGTCTTTAGAGTAATGTATAGGAGCATTATATGTATATGCATCTTGAATTACTGATGAATGCAGATTCAGCTTAAAATCTTCTTCAATGTTCTACTGAAGGATACAAAAAAGTCAGCTACATCTTCAATAATGACCTGAGGGCGAGTAAATGAACAGTTCATTTTTAATTTATGGGTGATCTATCGCTTTAAGGACTAATGTTAGCAGGAAATGGATGCTTTAAAATGTCAGCACCAACTGGTACCGAAGCTGGTACTTTTTGACAGCAGTACTCTATGATAGTTTGGGGTCTTCGGGAACAGGCTGGAAGTTGAGCAGGGCGATGGTGGGATCTTCGGTGGGTTCAGAGCTGAAATACGAGTCATCCTGGAGCTCCAGGAGCATGGGCAGATCTGTGCTGCTGCTGTCGGTGCTGAGGGGATCGGGGAGAACGATGGGCTGCGACGTGTACTGGACCAGCTGCTTGCCTGAAAGTACACACATTATGTTCTTGTCATATTTTCACATCGAACTATGTTGATATTCAATAAATCAATATATCAAATAGTGAGTTTGAGCATCCTGCAATACCTGAATCAGTGTCCACACCAGATTCGGTTTCTTTCACTGGATCTGGTGACAGAAGATCTTGGATCTGTAAAGACAGTGTAGAAATGATTAACACACAACTATAGATACCATTTAGAGTTGTCTTCTTCTTTTCTTCCCTGCTGTGACGTATTTAAGAGTAGCTCAGAGAAAATCTATTGATGCAAACACATAAATAGATGCAAACTTACACTAGCCAGGCTGTCCAGATCCACATCAGACGCCGCTGAAGAGAAAATCTGTAAACACAAGGTAATGTGATGTAGACAAATAGAAGTGCTGTAATTTAAAACTGAATATTTAGCAGCATATTTACGTCGAAGAGAGGAGAGGAGTCGAAGTTAATGGACTGCGCGTTGAGGATCTGCTGGAGGTTTTCTAAACCGCTGTCGATGGACTCCAGATGGTCATGAAGCTCCGTCCTGAACGACAGATAGAAATAAAAACAGACAGAAAGAGAGAAAGAAAAAAAAACAGAAAGAACAACATAAAAAAGAAAAGACAAACAGATAGAAAAGGAAGGAGAATGAAAGAGAAAGAAAAGACAAAGTAATAGAGAAATAAAAGACAGAAATAAAGATGAAGAAAAGACAAAGAAAGAAAAGACAAAAGAAAAAAGGAGAATGAAAAAGAAAGAAAAATCAAAGAAATAAAGAAAAATAGTAAAAAAGAAAAGAAACGGAAAAAGAAAGAAAAGAGAATGAAAAAAGAAAATACAAAGAGAAAAATAAATACAAAAGACAAAAAAAGAATAAGAAAAAAATAAGAAAATAAAGAAAGGCAATGAAAAAAAAGAAAAGACAATAAATAAACAACATGCATAGAGATGAAAATAAAGAAAAAGAAAAGAAAGAACGAAAACAAAAATAAACAATAGACAGAAAAATAGAAAAAGAAATATTAAGATGAAAAAACAAAAAAGAAAATACATAAAGAAAAGAGAGAAAGTGAGAAAGAAAAATAGAAAAAAGAAAGAGAAAAAGAAGAAAAGAAAAAAGAAAGAAAAGACAGACAGCAAAAGAAAGAGAATGAAATAAAGAAGGAAAAGACCATAAAGGCATAAAGAAAAAAAATAAAGAAAAAGAAAAAAAAAGATCATATAAAAATAGGAAAAGAAAAAGAGAAGACAAAGAAAAGACAAAAGAAAGAAAGACAGATAGACATACAGAAAGAAAAAAAAAGAAAGAAACAAAGAAAAGGTGAAAAAAAGAAGGAAAGAGTGAAGAAAACAAAAAAGAAAGAAAGAGTGAAGAAAATAAGAAAGAAAGGATGAAAGAAAGAAAAAAGTGAAGAAAGGAAGAAAGAAAAAAACAAAGAAAAAAGATGAAGAAAGAAAAAAAGAGAAGGAAAGAACATTTAAAATAATCATTCAAATGCTGCAAACAAAGCAGAGCACGTCCACTCTCGAAAACAAAAACAAAAACACTGATTCAAAGTTTATTGCAGCCAATCAAAATCAGCAAACGTCACTTCAGCAGAAGCATCATGTGAACACACTCCTATAAGAACGGGAGAGAGGCCGGTCCCCAGAAAGATCAAAACTGTGATGACGCCAGCGATGATGTCATAGAGAGGCCGATTACCTCATCACATTACCATTTAAATCAGAGAAAGCTGGGGAACAGGGGTCAAAGGGTGATTGGGTAGTTTCAAAAACATGCGTCTTCATTCAATCGCCATGCCAAACTCCACACTTTCATACCCTTAGACTTTATAAAAATCACGATCATGCTCAAATCAATCCCCCGAACGCTTGATTTTAATAACTAGTGCACCAACCGGCCAATCAGCATTTGGTATACTGAAATGAGCGAATCCTTATGGCGCAGAGACGGGGAATACTAGCTAAAAGCTAAATCAATAAATTTATAAATGAAGTTATCATGCTCAAATTAACCCCACGAACGCCTAATTATAATAGCTAGTGCACCAACCGGCCAATCAGCATCTGGTACACTGAAATGAGCGAATCCTTATGGCGCAGAGACGGGGAATACCAGCTAAAAGCTAAATAAATAAATCTCTAAATGAAGTTATCATGCTCAAATTAACCCCACGAACACCTAAATATAATAGCTAGTGCACCAACCGGCCAATCAGCATCTGGTATACTGTAATGAGCGACTCCTTATGGCACAGTGACCAGGAATTCAAGCTAAAAGCTAAGCGCGGCTAGCATCTTTCTGATCAAGCACAGCGTCAGGCGTTCTGGGGACGCTCGGCCGACTGAAAATGCTGACCCTGAATGAGGCCGGAGGTGCAGAGATGAGGTGGAGAAGCCGGAGAAAAGGCGAGAGATCTCAGACATCTGAGGATAACTGAAAAGACAGAAGCACAACATGGCACTGGAGACAGCAGGGGGAGCTAGACATATCAAACAGGGGCCGCTTCAGCTGGAGCACCAACAACAGTCAGAGATACAGAGGTACTGGAGACATCACACACACATTGTCAAATGATTATAGAGGTTGGCCAGAGCTACAAAAGTGCACTATTACAAGCAACAATGAAATTAATGTCAAAGCCTTCTGAGGAAAAAAAACAATTTAAAATATATTTTTTAAATCAGGTAAAGATAATAATTATATCATAAATATATTAAAAAATAAGATAATAAATAAAATATAAATAAAAATGTCCTCAATGAAAATTTTGTTATTGAACAGACCTCAAATAGCTCTTAAGAAGAAAAATATATCATAAAAAAATAATAATAAATATATATAAATAAATAAATATATATAAATAAATAAATAGGTACATAAATAAATAAATATATAAATAAATATATATATAAACAAATAAGTATATAAATAAATAAATATATAAATATATATATATATATATATATATATATATATATATATATATATATATATATATATATTTGTTGTTTTTTTTATCCAAAATAGCCAATTACGTAGTTTGACTCAAATTTTAAAGCTGATTTATTAAACATATTTCCTCAAAAAAAAATCTATTATGTTATTGGACAGACCTCAAACAGGTACAGAAGGTAACAAGCTAACATGAAGTCATTTAATTTTCACTTGCAAAATATGCATATTTTTAATGAATATATTAAAAATATAAAAATATTATTTACTTCAGGTGTTTTTTATCCACCAGACATTGCTGTTTTTGTAGTTTGGCTTGGATTTTTAAAAGCTGAATTATAAAACATTTCTCCTCAATGAAAATATAAAACATTTAATATTTTTTAAATTTAATTAAGGTAACAGAGAAATAGTTTTTTATTTTTACAAAAGAAAAAAATGACAATTTTTTTAAAATTAAAAATATATAAATATTTATTCATTCCACGTGTTTTTATCCATCAGACATTGCAGTTTTTGTAGTTTAGCTTGAATTTTAAACCTAAATTATTAAAAATATTTCCTCAATGAAAATCTGTAATGTTATCGAACAGACCTCAAACACTTCTGGGGAAAAAAGATTCAAATACATATTTAATATTATTTTAAAATGAATTAAGGTAAAACTGAAAATTTTTAATTTTCATTTATAAATGAATAAATATATCATTATTATTACTATTTTTATTACTATTACTATTATTATTACTATTGTTATTATTATTATTATTAATATTATATTCCAGTAGTTGTTATGTTTTGTAAACAAGGACGTTCAATTGTCAGAAAAATAAAGTCATATTTATTACACTGTTTTGGTAATAGATTTATCTGCAGGTGTTTAAAACCCCCCAGATGTTGTCGAATTGTCATATAGTTTGGTTAAGGTTGTAAAACTAAACTATTAAAAATATTCCCAGAACAAATTTCAAAATCTTCCTAAAAAAATAAACAATTCTAATAAAAAGTATAATAAAGCCTAGTTTTAGATCTTTAGGCCAATCTATGTAAAGCTGCGGTCACACTAGAGTTTGAAAATGCAAAATTCTGTCGTGCGGCGCTGTGAAAAGGGGCGGGAATAAACAAGATTATTAGGCATTAAAAAAGCGAGCGATTGCTCCATGTTTTAATTTCTGTCCACAAATGTCATGTTTTGATCCTCTTTGGTCTCAAATAGTCAAGTAATGCGATTTCACAGGTGAGTTCACCAAACCTGAACTTTGCACCGCAGCAACCTGCGAAACTTAGCGCATGACCCTGTGTTTCCGCTCTTGACGCATTCGCTTGCATATGAACGGAAGTCTATAGGACAGGGGTCTCAAACTCGCGGCCCGCGGGCCATTTGCGGCCCTCAGTGCAATATTTTGTGGCCCGCGCCGACCGCTGTACTCTGACAGAATCAGCGGAGCGGGGAGAGAGAGCGCTCCCCGCTCCGCTGATTCTATCCGTACACAGCGCGCTTGTCACTCAATGCGCGTTGTCGCGCGCGTTCTGATCAGCTGTGTTGTCGCGCGCGTACTCAAGAGCGGTGTTATCGCGCGCCTACTGAAGGGCGGGACCAAGGGTGTGTCGCATCACGGGGGCACTTTTGATCATTTTGGAAGGGCACTTTCTATGCAAGACTAAAAAGGGCATGTGCTCTGCACAGGTTGAGCCCTATGTGTGCACGTGCCTGCCCTGCATCTTGTGTTGATATTATAGGTAGATACAGACTGGTACAGACTGATGTGACTGGAGTGGGGTGGGGGTGTTTTATTTATACATATATACGCCTTTTTTTAGGTGAGGGAATGGAAGTTGTGAGTGAGTTCCCCCACTTTTTTCCCTAGGACTTCAATAAGTCAAAGTACAGGTCTAGACTTAATGATGATCATCTTCAAGCCATACTGAGGGTCTCAACTGCTTCCGCTCTAAAGCCAAATGTGGTTCAGATTTGTGAGAAGAAGCGCTGTCAAGTCTCTGGCAGCAAGGAGTAGGCAAAAGATGCCATGTTCAGAAGAACTGTTCATAATCTTCACTCAATGTTCTATTAATGTTCAGGACACTTCATGTTCAGAAGAAATAATTAAAACTGTTAATAATGACATTTGAGGACTTTTTTTTTGTGAAATCTCTTATGCGGCCCAGCCTCACCCAGACTTTGCCTCCTGCGGCCCCCAGGTAAATTGAGTTTGAGACCCCTGCTATAGGAGGAAAAGCCCAGTGTGACCGCAGCTTTAAGATGAGCTGCCAAGACTAACAGCTTAAGCACATAATAGTCCTAATTTTCAGATAATTATTTGACAATTAGTCTAGACTGTTAATTATATTTACCAGTAACCCATATTTTTAAACTCAGTTCATGTAGAGCCATGTACACTCTTCAGTTTATGTAATAGCACACTCTGAGCTTTTCTCCATGCAACACATTTCATTTAATGAAGTTGCAAAACCCTAATTAAGCACAAATTAGCTTGCACTCGGTTATAAAAACATACATTCAGTGCCATACGGACCATGAGATGAGCTGCCATATGAATTCTTACACTAAATACCTGGAAAACAATTAGTATTAGTCATTGTGCCAGTCTGCCAGGCTGAATTGAGCTGCCACCAATAACCCAGCTGAAGAGTTAGAAAAGAGCAGCACTCCTGAAAAACACTTTAAAGCGCATCCGCTCAGGAGATCATTCGCTTTTATGAATGAAATTAAATATTTATTGGAATTGTGGAAGAGGACCGTTTACATACAAGTGAAAATCCTGTCATAATACACTCTTCTTCTGTGAAAAACGAATCGAAACAGATGGCGAGCACAGTTTTGCATGGCAGAAAGTGGTCTCTACATCATCTTCATCCAAAAAAGCAGCTTGTTTGTGCTCAGAAAACAAATCAGTGAGTTAATGGTGACAGCTTTCATTTATAAGTAAGCAACTCCACAAAGACACTTCAGGATAGGTTTACACCTGTTTTACCTGCTATTATGATGCATTTGTTTCACTCACTGATGAAGCTAAATACATTAAAGGGATAGTTCACCCAAAAATTTAAATGTGCTTACTATTTACTCACTCTTAAGTGGTTTTAAAGCATTATGAGTTTCTTTATTCTGATTTACTGGAAAGAAGGCATTTTAAAGAACACTAAAACCTGTAACCATTGACTTCCATTGTAGAGAAAATAAATACTATACAAGTCAATGGTTACAGGTTTATATATATATATGGATGGATGGATGGATGGATGGATAGAAAGATAGATAGATATTTCACCATGTATATGACTGGATTTATAGTGTAGCAAAAATAAATCATGATATACACATAAATGCCTGAAATCTAACAGTTGATGTGGTCTACAATTTTTTTATTTATCACAAGAGTAATTTTGTATTTGACAAATAAGATTTAGACTTACGAATTAGCATATTTTGGTTGATTACAAGTTTATGAAGGTTTTCTTTCATGTATGAAACCGATAGCATGCTCTTTTATGAGTTTATATTATACAAAGCGACACATAACTCGACGTCAGTCAGCAAAATGAGTATGACTTGCCTTTTCTCTTGATCATTTTCATACATTTTATTTAATTACCATCTAAATGTTTCTAAAATGAGTTAAAATGCAGACAATAATTTACATACAATGGTATAAATGCTGTATTAGGAGCTCAAAAGAAATAATGAATAAGAATATGAATATGTTGATTATATTTATTTATATATAAGTTTTTTGTTTATGTACAAATAGGTTTTATTTAGTATATTTCTTTAATTACACTTACATTAATACATTTAACAGTAAAAATATAAAAAAGAGAATATCATAGATAAGTTGTGCAATAGTGATAGTTTTTAAAATAAATAAATATTTGTTAATAAATGAATAAATTAAAATACATAAAAACAAATAAATTAAAATAAATTGATTCAGAAATAAAATAAAATGAATGAATAAAATACATAAAATAAAAAAATTAATAATAAAACAAATAATAACAAATAAAAAATACATGAAAAAATAAATTTATGAATAAAATAAAAATAATGAATAAATAAAAATACATAAAAATAAATAAACAAAACTGAATTGATTAATAAAGAAAAGAAAAAAAGAAAAATACATAAAAAACAAACAAATTGATAAATAAAAAATAAACTGGTTAATGAATAAAAGAAAATGAGTTGACATGTAGACAATAATTTATATACAAATGTTCAAATGCTGTATTAGGAGCTCAAAAGAAATAATGGATAAGAAAATAATTATATGATGATTATATTTATTTATATACAAGTTTTACATTTATATATAAATATGTTTTATGTAAAATATTCATTTAATTACATACTTAATAAATTTAACAGTAAAAATATAAAAAATGAGTGCATCATAGTTAAGTTGTGTAATGGTTTTCTGTCTGTACAATATGTAAATACCACTAGAATATTTTGTAAAATTATATCGAAAGGTCAAAAAAGGCCTAATCATTGACTGGCCGTGGTCATAAGTGGACAAAACAGACACGTTTAAATAGCAAATGTGAACAAAACCGAACTGGAACAACCTAAATGCATTGTAATAGCAGGTGTAAACAGTGCCTAAGAAAGCCAGTTTAGGAAATGGAATGCACACAGGAAGAGAACTCAGCTGTAGGCTCTAAATGTTAGTCAACTCACTTGTCCAGGCAGGCGACGCTCAAGCACTTCTGTTCGCTGGGAGGCGGAGTCAGGGCGGAGACTGGCTCGCTCTCCTGAAGGATGGAGTTTATGAAGGTTGTGGGCGAAAGGGGCGTGTCCACAGGCAAATCAGACCCAGCCCCCACTTCTACTTCCACAGGACACACCTCTTCCACCTCAGGGCTGTGGGCGGGGCTAGACGGCTCTTCTTTGATGTGGACCAATGGGCTCGTTCTGTCAAAGTGGGTTTGTTATTATCAGCTTATATTCACAAATTATCTACACTGCTTTTAACTGTGATGTTTTAATTTAAAAAAACCCTAATAATGATGAAAAAAAATGTATTAAAATATTGAAAATTTTAGAGAAAAAGTTATATAAAATAAATAAATTAAATATGGATGTTTATATTTTAATATTAATATTTATTATTAATAAAATACATTATTATATCACATTTTGTACATGTTAATTACCCTAATGTCCATTAGCCTCAATTAGAAACTGATTACATAAAAAAAAAATATATATATATTTATATATATATATATATTTTTTTTTTTTTTTTTTTTTTGTCATATATACATAAATAAATTCCTTTCTTGATTTGGTGGTGTAATACAACCAATTTTCTCGAGCAGCTTGTCACTCTGTCACTCACCGGTCTTCAATCCACTCGTCTGTGGCCACAGGGCTGGACTGGGCCAGTTCAGTGATGTCAGAGATGATTGGGCCCGTCTTGACTGGCGATTCTGAGCTGAAGACGCCAGTTCCAGTGAAAGCTGTGCTGGAGGGCTGCAAACGGTAAAATAGAAATAAACTTAAACCTGGTCAACACTGGTGAACAGAGCTGGTAGTTTGAGATGTTAGCATGCGGTATACTTACAGCAGGAGACTCCAGCGAGTACTGACGAGAGAATTTGGGCATGGAGTGAGCAGAGCTGCTGTCGTTCAACATCAGCGGCCTGACAACACAACCAAAAAATATTATTAAAGATGGTAAAAAATAAATAAATAATGATGGTAATAATAATAACAATACTAATAATACAATTAATAAATAAAAGATACATAAAATAAATGAATAAAAATTAATTGATAAACAAAAGAAAATAAATGAATAAAAATAAAAGAATAAATGAAAATACATAAAAATAAATACATTTATAAATAAACAAAAACATTTATGAACAAAAACTCATAAAAATAAATAAATAAAAATAAAAGAAAATAAATTAATAAATTTAAATACAGAAAAATAAATGAATTCATAAATAAAATAAACAAATAAAAACAAATGAATAAATAAAAAAACATAAATAAATGTTAATAATATATAATAATACATAAAAATAAATGAATAAAATTAAACTTAATAATAAAAGAAAATAAATAAATAAAGAATAATGAATAAATAAAAATAAATTGACTATTAAATGAAAGAAAATAAATAAATAAAAACAAATAAATTTATAAATAAAAATAAATTGATTAATAAATAATAGAAAATAGATAAAATAAATAAAAAGCTTCATATATACACTTTACACAAACTTTACATAATGCATTACACTACAGTTAATATCACAGCAGTCATATATATATATATATATATATATATATATATATATATATATATATATATATATATATATATATATATATATATATATATATATATATAATGTAGATTTAGAAATGTTTGAATGTGAATATGACTTACATCTTTCGTTTCACTCCCAGAACTCTGTTGGACCGTGCTAATGTGATCAGGAACTGAATGAGCTGTGGAAAAAAAAAAAAAACAAAGGAAAAAAAAATACATTAACTTTAAGTATTTAACATATGCGGGGGCATAAAATAATACAAAATTTGTTAAGCTTTAAATAAATTGTTACTAAATTGGAAAGGCTTTTTGATTTTAATTAATTAGACAAAATTTTTATAGCAAAAATTTTACCTAACCATTAAAAACAGATTCCTGAAAAAATTCAATTGGAAAAAAATTTAATGGAAAAAAAAAGAAAACATTGCAAAAGAAAAAGAAAAAAAAGGTTTAAAGCCCTACATGAAGTATTTTCAAATGATACATAATAAAGTCTATAACAAAAAGAAATGAATGCATTTAAAAGTTGGAAATTAACTATATAATTATAAATATGACACCAAACTGCCAGTAGGTGACAAAAAAGCACCATAGTGATTTATTCATTCAAACGATTCATTCAAAATGACTGATTCATTTGAAAGTGTCTTTATGAATGGATCAATAAAACACTGAAGCATTGCTCTAATGTGCACAAAAGTTCTGCACCAGCTTCATTTAAAATACTTCAATTGGCAGAAACAGGAAAAAACCCACAATACTGCACCAAAAATGTTACTTGCTCATTATAAACGTATTGTTCATTAAATGCTATAAATATATACAGTTGAAGTCAGAACTATTAGCCCCCTTTAGATTTTTTTTCTGTCTTTTTTTTTAATATTTCCCAAATGTTGTTTAACAGAGCAAGGAAATTTTCACAGTATGTTATTTGTTTTATTTCGGCTAGAATAAAAGCTGTTTTTAATTTTCTAAAAAACAATTTTGGGACAAAATTATTAGCCTCTTTTAAGCTATTTATTTTGGATAATCTACAGAACAAACCATCATTATAAAATAACTTGCCTGATTACCCTAACCTGCTTAGTTCACCTTATTAACCTAGTTAAGCCTTTAAATGTCACTTTAAGCTGTATAGAAGTGTCTTGAAAAATATCAAGAAAAATATTATTTACTGTCATCATGACAGATGAAATAAATCAGTTATTAGAAATAGGTTTCTAAAATTATTATGCTTAGAAATGTGCTGAAACAACCTTCCCTCCATTAAACAAAAATTGGGGGAAAAAATTAAAGAGGGGCGCTAATAAGTCAGGGGGGCTAATAATTCTGATATATATATATATATATATATATATATATATATATATATATATATATATATATATATATATATATATATATATATACAATTACCAAATATCCCACATCAACCCCATATACATATGCTGTGTATCATAATATGGTAGTGAAATTTAGTACATATGCCATTTAATGGTGATGCCGAAGTGAGGCTGGTTTACGAAACACATTTTACCAATGAAACACATTTGCGTCAATCAAAATGTACCTTATTGACGACTTTCTGTTGTTGAGAGTGTTTCTGTCTCAAAGTGGCAACTTCCCTCCAGAGCATCTCGTTCTCACTGTGGAAGAGACATACAGCAGATTCATATTCAGAGGTTCATATTTATTAAAGTGGAATTCATGTTATGATGTTTGAAACACAATGAGCAGGATAAATGCAGCAGTGACTGGTCAGTGAAAGTTCTGTTCTGGGTGATTGAGTAAGGCCGGCTTCTCCTAAACTCCCCTGACACTGATAAGAAGACATTTTAAGTGTTCGCTCACGAGTTCAACATGAGAGAGACACGCGGCCTGAACACAGTCCAGCACAAAGAAACAAAACACAGGCCCAAACTGAACATCATCACGGCCTAGATGGAAATTCAAACACCACTATGCCAGAGATATTCCTATGAAATACAGAGACGAGCAAAAGGTGACAAAACTGTGTAGGTCACCCCAAGTCACAATAAATAAACTGTAAGTCTGGTCTAAATAAGATTGAGGAGATCTAGCCTCAAGTCTATTTTATCAACCTCTTCGCTAAATTCATTTGCAGATTATTCAAGAATGCTTGGGTCTATCGAAAAGCCTTTAATAAATCTTTGTCAGGACAATATGAAGATTGACTGTGCCAATTCTGGTGAAAATCAGATGTTCACAGGAGCACGAGTAACACATGCACAACCAACTACGTTCCTATTCGCCCCTGTTAACATTGTCTAATCATTGCTCAAACTAGTTTCGGAAAGCTTTAATTCGAATATTCGAAGAGTTGTGAGAGTTTGTTTAGTGATGATGTGAGTTTGATGAAAGTTTTGGAGAGCTTTAATCCCTTTGTTTTGTTGTTGTTTTGTCTGGTTGAGGATTTGGAGAGTTTGTTTAGTGATCATGTGAGTTTGATGGAGGTTTTGGAGAGCTTTAATCCCTGTGTTTTGTTGTTGTTTTGTCTGGTTAACGGATTTAGACAGTTTTGAGAGTTTGTTTGGGGTTAGCATTTGTTTGATGGAGGTTTTGGAGAACTCCTTGTTACTCTGTCTAGTTGAGGATTTGGAAATTTATCAGAGTTTGTTTGGTGTTAATGTGAGTTTGATGTGGGTTTTGGAGCACTCTGATCCTCCACAGCTGTCTCTATAAACCCCCGTCCCATCTGCTGAGGGGTGAGAGGTGGACGACGCACTTAAAGTGTTTCTTCCTGAATGCTGCTGGTTTACAGACGAGCACCGCTGGGTTATACACAGCTGAGGCCTCTCGTGGTTTTCCAGCTCTCACTGCGTCATCTGACGCCTGACATCAATTGCATCTGATCTTCACGATAAGAATTCTGTCTGCTTATTTTAAACATCATTTGACAGGATGATCAGAGCTCTCCTAAACCTCCAAACATTAACACCAAACAAACTCTAAAAACTCTCTAAATCCTAAACCAGACAAAACAACAACAAAGCAGGAGCATCAACACTCTCCCAAACCTCCAAACAAATTTTAACACCAAACAAACTCTAAAACTACCCAAATCAGTTAACCAGACAAAGCTCTACAAAACCTCCATCAAACAAATAGTAACACCAAACAAACTCTAAAAACTCTCCAAAACCTCAACTAGACAAAACAATAACACCAAACAAACTCAAATCTCTCCAAAGACTCAACCAGACAAAACATTAGCAACAAACAAACTCTCCAAACATTCAACCAGAAAAAACATTAGCACCAGCACCAAACAAACTCTCCAAACATTCAACTAGACAAAACATTAGCACCAGCTCCAAACAAACTCTCCAAACTTTCTAAATACTCAACCAGACAAAACTCTAGCACCAAACAAACCCTCCAAATCCTCAACCAGACAAAACATTAGCACCAAACAAACTCTTATAACTCTCCAAATTCTCAACCAGACAAAACTCTAGCATCTAACAAACTCTCCAAACACTCAACCAGACAAAACAACAACAAAACAATGGCTTCAGAGCTCTGCAAAACCTCTATGAAACAAACATTAACTAAACAAACTCTCAAAACACTTCAAAATCCTCTCTAAATCCTTAACCAGACAAAACAACATCAAAGCAGGAGCATCAAAACTCTCCAAAACCTCTTAACAAATATTAACACCAAACAAACTCTTAAAACTCTCTAAATCAATTAACCAGACAAAGCAATAACATAACACGAGGATCAACACTCTACAAAACTTCCAAACAAACATTAACGCCAAACAAACTCAAAAGTTTCCAAATACTTAACCATACAAAACTCTAGCACCAAACAAACTCTCCAAATCCTCAACTAAACAAAACGTTAGCATTAAACAAACTCTCCAAACCCTTAACCAGATACAACAATCTTGAAATGCAGCTATAAAAACATTTACAGTTTGCCCCAATTGTTTAAAGTTCAACTGTTCTCAAAAAATATTACATTTAAAATACCCATTAAAATAGTTTGATAAAAAAACTAACATTTTAAACCAAAAGAAATATCTTAAAGTATATAAAGTAGCCATAATAAAATGAATGAAATAGCAAATTGTATACTTAATAACATATTGGAACATTTACCTCTGGTTTAAGACTAGTCTTAGGCTAAATTGCAAGTATGAGCCGTCTTTAACTAAAACAATAACTTGCAGTGACAACCAAAAACGCCTCAGTGCCATAAAATAGTTTCAACATACAAACCAGTAATGCATTTTTCTAATTAATTTGTATAAAACCAACTTAATTACCTAACTTAGGCCTAATCTGGCCTTTAAAATGCTATTCAATTTTTTAACATGTTTGATAGATTTCAAATTATTTTAAAAGTTACTAAATTGCAAATAAAAGTAATCAATAACCAATCCCTGACTAATAATAACCAACTAATTTCAGAGGTGACCATCACAGGTTGATATCATCAGTGATATTCGGCCTGTGTCTGTGTTTGTGTGTAGCAGCTGAACAGACAAACTCTAACACTGAGCTCAGAACAGCTGCAGAGACGCGTCACACTGGCTGATTTAGAGCCATGACTAACCGGGTTGAAAAAGGTGAAGCATTAATGAGCAGCCACAAACCCGGCAGAGATTAGCCCACATTCACATCTCAGCCGTTACACTTTGAACTGCTATTGATATCCAGTCGGCGTAACACTGGATGAGGACTAACTGAATGACTGTCAACAAGCCAACTGTTACATCAGTGAAACACTTCTACTTAGCAATCAGTTTAGATACTTGACTAAACCAGAACAGGCAGAGAAAGTAGAACATATTGACTGAATCATTCACTCCTTTTCTTTTCGGCTTAGTCCCTTTATTCATGACATGGTGCGTTATCCTGTTGGAATTAGCCATCAAAAGATGGGTATACTGTGGTCATAAAGGGATGGACATGGTCAGCAACAATGCTCAGGTAGGCTGTGGTGTTGACACAATGCTCAATTTGTACTAATGGGCCCAAAGTGTGCCAAGAAAATCTCCCCCACACCATTACACCACCACCAACTGCCTGAACCGGTGATACAAGGCAGGATGGACCCTTGCTTTTATGTTGTTGACACCAAATTCTGACCCGAGCATCCGAATGTGGCAGCAGAAATAGAGACTCATCAGAGCAGGCAACGTTTCTCCAATCTTCTATTGTCCAATTTTGGTGAGCCTGTATGAATTGTATCCTCAGTTTTCTGTTTGTAGCGGATAGGAGTGGCACCCGGTGTGGTCTTCTGCTGCTGTAGCCCATCCGCCTCAAGGTTGGACGTGTTGTGTGTTCAGACATGCTCTTCTGCAGACCTCGGTTGTCACGAGTGGTTTTTTTGAGTTACTGTTGCCTTACTATCAGCTAGAACCAGTCTGGCCATTCTCCTCTGAGATTAAAAAGCCATTTGCCTTTCCCCCCTTTTTTGATGCTCGGTTTGAACTGCAGCAGATTGTCTTGACCATGTCTACCTGCCTAAACTAGTTAACGAGCAGTTGGACAGGTGTACCTAATAAAGTGGCCGGTAAGTGTGTTATTATCATAATTCAAAATAAAAGTGCTTTCCTTTTAAAAATATCTTGCATAATAATTAATTTTTGTGATACAAAGTTTAAAGTTCTCTTCAATTTTAATTTCCTCTTTAATTGTTATAATCGAAACAATGAATTGCCAACTGGCCCAACAGGACTCGAACCAGCAACCTTCTTGCTGTGAGGCGACAGTGTTAACCACTGAGCCACCGTGTATGACAGTGTGTGAATGTAAGAGTGTATGGGTGTTTCCCAGTACTGGCTTGTGACTGTGTAAAACATATGCTGGATAAGTTGCCGGTTCATTCCGCTGTGGCGACCCCTGAAAAATAACTAAGCTGAAGGAAAATGAATGAATAAATAAAATACTATAGAAGTCAAAGGTTGTCTGCACCAATGGCGTAGCAGCACATGGAACTCTGGTGCTCAAAGCGACCAGAGTTCTATTGCTTCCTCGAGGTCCTATAACGATCCTTCCCTTCTCTCTGCTCCACACACTTTCCTGTCTATTCTCTCTACTGTCGTATAAAATTAAAGGTGAAAACCCGGAAAAAACCCAAAAGAAAAAAAAAAAAAAAAAAAAAAAAGAAGTCAATGGTTACCGGTCTTCCAACATTCTTCAAAATATCTTCTTTTTGGTGGAAGAACAGGGAAAAAAAAGGATGACAGATTTTTTTTTTTCAAGTGAACTAATTTTTTTCATCATGCTAAAATGTAGATTTTTTTTTACAGTATTTAATCAGATAAATGGTAATCAATTTTCCAACATTCTTCTAAATATCTTCTTTTGGCAAAAGTAAGAAAGAACCTGGGAAGTGTGAACAAACACAGACAGAATATTAATTTTTCTGAATACCAACTGACTTCTCATGACTTACTGCTTGAGGGTGCTGATTTTGGAGTCCATGGACTCCTGCTTGCCCTTCATGTGCTGGACATCTGAGATCATTTTAGACACGTCGTCCGTGCTGAACTTGTAGTCCTCATGTTTAATATTCGACACCTGCAGATAGACACAATGAAAACGTCAGAGATGGACATGTGTGTGTGTGTGTGTGTGACCCCTTTCTGAACCCTCACATAGTGGAAAGCATGTGCTAATGGTTTGATTTCCGCCCTGAGCTGGACATTTGGACAGAGCGGCAGAGGAAAGGCTATAAATGGGAGAACTGGAAAGTGGTGATGGAGCACCAGAGCGACGCCAGATTAAGTGCCCCAGAACCTCGGTCTCTAATCCACACTCAAGTCTCCAGCTGGCTTCAGCTCCGACCTGCTGATTATCGCAATCTGTCACCGAGCCAAAGGGGGGAAAGAGGGACACCAGGAGTTAAACTGGCCCGAGGAAACCCGGCAGAGCACATGGAAATCATTGATTGCAAAAAAAAAAACTATTATAATAACTTGGGCTGGTTAGACATCATCCCAGCTTTGCAAATTTCTTAAGGGGAAAATCTAAGTTGCAGATCTCTAAACAGAATTCGAGGGGCTTTTAAATGTTTCGGTTAAATCATGCTCTCTATTGATTAAATGTACATCTAACTTTGTAAAGAAAATTATAGATTTAAGCTGTTAATAACCGTGGGAACTTTTCTGTAAAATAAAAGAATATAAATGCCATTAACATGGTTTCAACTGGAAGAAAACATTTTTATTCTGTGTGTACAATTTAATAATTGCGAATATATGTACATATATGTTGTTATAAATTATATAGTATTTATATATTTTTATGTATTATAAGAACATCAAATTTACCTTTCTGAATGTTATGAACTAGGGCTGTCGATTAAATAAAATTGGTCTGTAATTAATCTAATGATTCAGACTATTACTGTGAAAACATGAAATTAAAAAATATTGCATAATATATTAACTCTATACGTTTAAAAGTTATTATTTAGTCATAAAAATATTGAAGAAAACAATATATAATTTTGAAATACCTTATATGTTGTCTCTGGTGGCCTGCTATTTATTTATATTACATTTTATTTGACTAATTTATGCATTTATCTGTGAGTGTTTATATTAAAAATGTTAAAAATGTATAAATACTAACAAAAATGCATCAATAAGTCAAATAAAATGTAATGTAAATAAATAAGTTCAGCAGATAAGTCTTGCAAGGTATTTTAAAATGATCAATTATTTTGTTGAATAATATACCTTATATGATGTCTGTGGTGATCTGTTATTTGTTTATATTAGATTTTAATTGACTTATTTATGTATTTTGTGAGTATTCATTTTAAAATTGTTAAATTAAATATAAATACTTACAAAATTGCATTAATAAGTAAAAAAATGTAAAATAAATAAATGAATAAAAGTTAGGAAATTTTAAAATTATAAATTATTTTGTTAAATAATATACCTCATATGACGTCTCTGGTGACCTGTTATTTGTTTATTTATTTATATTACATTTTATTTTACTTGTGCAGTTTTGTGAGTATTTATTTCAAAATTGTTCAAATAAATATAAATATTCACAAAAATGCACAAATAAGTAAAATTAATTTAATATAAATAAATAAATAAATAAATAAATATAAGGTCACCAGAGAAGTCATATAGGCATTTCAAAATGATAAATTTAGTTTAAAAAAATACTTTAGCCTATGACATCTCTTGTGACCAGTTAAAATGCATAAGTCATATAAAATGTATAATAAATAAATAAATAAATAAATAAAAGGTCACCAGATTCATTTTATAAGATATTTCAAAAAGATAAATTATTTTGGTAAATAATATACCATATAAGACGTCCCTGGTGACCTGTTATTTATTTACATTACATTTTATTTTACTTATTCATGCATTTTTGAGAGTCCTTATATTAAAATTCTTAAAATAAATATAAATATTTACAAAAACGCATAAGTAAAATAAAATGTAATATAAATAAATAGGAAATGTCATATGGTATTTCAAAATGATAAATTTTGTTTAATTTTTTTTTTATATATATAAATAAGAAAAGTATACTAATATTAATCAAAATATCAGAAAATGGCAAATACATCAGTCAAATGCATCCAGAATACATGAAAAAGTAAGGCCCCACAACTTGATAAACACCTACAGCACAAACTACACATATTGAGCTGGCTTCCAGTAAGAAAAGTCCATTAATCATAACTTATTAAATGTCTCCCAGTGGAAGAATGTAATTGTCAATTGTTGATCTAAAAAGCGAAACACTGCAGGTTTCAAAGCCTACCAAGAACAGCAGGGGAAACCCCCCCAAAATGCTGAGAGCTCATTACAGGTCTGACATCATAACAGCGTCCTAAATCAACTTCAGCCTCAATGTAAGCTGCTTTGGATTTAAAAAGCCCCTCTGAAATACAGACTAATTATAAAAACCATGAGGGCACTTAAAACCCAAAGTCACTGAGGGTCTAATAAACGCCCCGCTCATATACTCTCTTTTTTAATAAGATGTTTTATGATGTGCAGATGTAATTGTCTGGTTAAATCAGATGAGAACGCACTCACCGTGGTCACCTTCCTCTTAATATTCTCCAGAAGTTGCTCCTGTCCCCGGATGAAATATGGATGCTGGAACTCTGTGTCGTCTTTCTCTGGTTTTACCAGCCCTCCCTGCTCAATGTGGACCACTTTCCGAAAACCATCTGCATAATAAGAACAGAAACACATTACCATAATGTTCATAATGCACACTCCTTTCTCCATTCAACTTAAGTATATACTCAAATTTTAAATAATATTGAATAAGAAATGCATAAAACTACAATTATATTTATAATTATAATATAACTAAACCTCTAAGCTAAGTTAAATGTGGAAAACTTGGCATTAAAGTCATGGAACTGTACATAAGAGGTATTAATATTATTTTAAGAAATACTCAGTCTAGCTCATAAATGTGGTCTACTATTAATATCATAAACATCTGTACATAAAAGTATGATTATTATTATTATTATTATTAAAAAATACATTTAGGCAGCATTAATGTCATGAAACACTAGAAGTATGAAATGAGTATTTTTATTATTACAACATTATATTTCTAAGCTGCAAAATGTGGACAATCAGCAATAAATACCATGAAATTTTATAAATAAACAGTGTGATTATTATGTCTAAAAATAAATTTAGGCAGCATTCCTGTCATAAAATACTAAATAAAATGTCTATTTTTATTATTATTACAACAACAACATATTTTAGGCTACAAAATGTGGACAATCAGGAATAAATACCATGACATTTTATAAATAAAAAGTGTGATTATTACGTTTATAAAATATTTACAGGCAGCATTCGTGTCAAAACACTGTAAATTAAATGTCTATTTTTATTATTATTATAACATTATATTTTTAAGCTACAAAATGTGGACAATCAGGAATAAATATCATGAAATTTTATAAATTAAAAGTGTGAGTATTAAGATTATTATGTCATAGAATATGGAGGCAGCATTAGTATCATAAAAAATGTAAATAAAATGTCTTTTTATTATTATGACAACATTATATTTCTAAGCTACACAATGTGCACAATCAGGATTAAATATCAAGAAATATATAAATAAAAATATTATTATTATGATAAAACATATCTACATTGCATAAAATCTTGAAACACTAAATATGGAGAAAATGTGGACAATATAGAATTACTTATTTAGTGCAGCTTCATTTAAAATACACACCATCCAAAAATGTTCACATTATCCAACAAAACACGAATCAAAATCTTCCACGTTAACATTTATATGAGCCTAAACATTTATTCAACACCTTCAGCTTTAACCATCTAAGTCTATAAATAAAGTTTATTAGGTCATTAAAATGATTAAACAGATTAAAGCCATTATCATATTCCTCTTATACTTACACATATTGAGCTGGCGGACAAAACTGGCCATGTTGTTGTGCTTGAAGTATTTCGGCAGAACTTCTTTGGAAAACCTGCCCTGGTCGAAGACGTGGAAACTGGTGCCATTCTGAAAACGCAGTCAAACAGTTTTAGTAAACAATGTTAGCTTTATATTCACACACTAGGACTTTACAATTTCAGAAAAGTATTATTTACAAATTCTTAATAGGGAAATCATATTAGCAGCCAATGACAATCAAAGTACAACACTGTTCACAGTTTATTAAATATGGCTAATGTTATTTTAAATTCATACTTAACATGCTATTTCAGATCCAATTTTTAAAAGTAGCATGGTAAACCATATGGGTAACAACTTTACCTCAATGACCAATAAAATGTCCCTCTTCGGGCTGTCAGCTTAAAACAAAGTCACCAGCTAACAGCCAAATCCACTTATAATAGTCCAGAATTAGACAGCTGACAGATAGTGTTAATTCAATACTTTACAACTTCTCATGTGTTTATTTAGCGGCTCTGGTTTAAGCCTGACGGTTAGCGCCTTAACTATCACCCTACATTTTAAGTTCAATGACTTGTAAATTACATTTGATAAACAGTTTGTTAAAATAAGTTCAGGATTGGACAAAAAGAATCGTAATAAATGTGGTCAAAAAATCCCATCAGTGGAATTGTGACTGTTTGACACAGATATTGAGGTAAAGTTGGTTTTATATTCGCACATTCATTCATTATTAAGTAAACTGACTACTTGTGACACTGCCCTATATTGTTTACTATGCTACTTTTATATATTTGGTCTACAATTGCATGTAACAATTTGAAAACAACATTAGCGCTATTAATTGACGGTGAACAAAGTTGTGCTATGTAGCCATTAGCTGCTAATATGATTTCCCCATTTAGAATTAGCAAAGACTACTTTTTTAAAATGATATTATTCTTGAGAAAGCATGAATCTGTGACTATAGAACCAACTTTACCTCAATAAAGCCCTGTCAGTGGGATTGTAACTGTTAAGAGCTCAAATATAAACTAAAAGACAGCTCTCTAAATACATTGAAGCTCATTTTACACAGGTTGAACCATATCTATTCATAACAAAAGATAAATATTTAGGTAAAATCCCAATTCTGTGCCTTCATAATCAACAAACGTAGTGTTTATGAGGTAAAGTTAGTTCTATATTCGCACATTTGTTCCTTTTTGAACTAAGTGACAACTTCTGACAAGGCTCCTATATTGTTTACTATGCAACTTTTTTATATTCGGTCTGAAATCGCATGCAAGTATGACTTCAAAAGTAAATTAGCACTATCCAACTGTGAAAAATGTTGTATTTTGATAGTCACTGATTTCTCTATTTAGAATTAGCAAAGAATACTTTTACCGCAATAAAACCCTATCAGTAGGATTGTGACTGTTGATAGATCAACTAAAAGACAGCTCTCTAAATACATGTAGGCCCATTTTACACAGGTTTTACCATATCTATTTATAATAAAAGAAAAATATTTCAGTAAAATCACAATCCTTGGCCTTTACATTAAAAGATGTAGTGTTTATGAGGTAAAGTTAGTTTTACATTCGCACATTCGTTCATTTTTTTAACGAAGAGACAACTTCTGACACGGCCCCTATATTGTCTACCATGCTACTTTAATATATTTGCTCTGAAATAGTAGGCAAGTATGACTTCAAAACAACATTAGCATTTAAGTGACTGTGAACAAAGTTGTTGTATTTAGATAGTCATTGGCCGCTAAAAAGATTTCCATATTTAGAACTGGCCAAGAATACTTTTCAGAAATGATATTATGAAAGAGAACGTCTGACTGTGTGAATATAAAACCAACTTTACCCCAATAAAACCCTGTCAGTGGGATTGTAACAAATATTGTGAAATATAAACTAAGACAGCTCTCTAAATACAAGCCCATTTTACACAGGTTGAACCATATCTATTTATAATAAAAGATAAAAATTTAGGTAAAATCCAAATTCTGTGCCTTCATATCAACAAACGTAGTGTTTGAGGTAAAGTTGGTTTTATAATCACACATTCGTTCATTTTTTTAACAAAGTGACAACTTCTGACACGGCCCCTAAATTGTTTACCATACTACTTTTATATATTTGGTCTGAAATCGCATTTAATCATGACTTCAAAACAACATTAGCACCATTTAATTGACTGTTAACAATGTTGTACTAAGACAGTCATTGGCTGCCAATATGATATTAGGAATTTGCAAAGAATACTTATCTGAAACTATAATTTTAGGAAGAAAGTCTGAATGTGTGAATACAAAACCAACTATACCTCAATAAAACCCTGTCAGTGGGATTATGACTGTGAAGAGTTCAAATATAACCTAAAAGACAGCTCTCTAAATACATTTAGGCCCATTTTACACTGGTTTTACCATATCTGTATTTTGATAAAATCCCAATCCTGTGCCTTGATATCAATGAGCGTGGTGTTTATGAGGTAAAGTTGGTTTTATATTCGCACAGTTGTTCATTTATGAACTAAGTGTCAACTTGTGACATGGTTTCTATACCATTTACCATGCTACTTTTATACATGCGGTCTGAAATAGTATGACTTCAAATCAACATTAGCCCTATTTAAGTGACTGTGAACAATGTTGTTGTACTTAGATAGTCATTGGCCGCTAAAAGATTTCCATATTTAGAACTGGCAAAGAATACTTTTCTGAAATGATATTATTAAAGAGAACGTCTGACTGTGTGAATTTAAAACCAACTTTTCCCCAATAAAACTCTGTCAGTGGGATTGTGACTGTTACAAATATATTTAGGCCCATTTTACACAGGTTTTACCATATCTATTCATAATAAAAGATAAATATTTCTGTAAAATCACAATCCTTGGCCTTCATACTAATGAAGGTAGTGTTTATGAGGTAACGTTGGTTTAATATTTGCACATTTGGTTATTTATGAACTAAGTTACATTGTTTACCACGCTACTTTTACATATTCGGGTATCACCAGACATAGTTATGATACAAGATTAATTTTTTTTTAACAGTGAAATCACAATCTTGTGCCTTCATATGAATGGATGTACTGTTTAGGATTGAAGTAAAGTTGGTTTTATATTTGCACAGTCATTCATTTGAGTAGTCCCAGTATTGTTTACCACACTAATTTGAATATTCGGTCTGAAAATGCATTTAAGTATGACTATAAAACAACATTACTGCTATTTAATTGCCTGTGAACAACGTTGTACTTTGATAGTCATTGGCTGCTAAATGATTTCTATATTTATAATATGCAAATAATAGTTTTCTGCAATTGCATTGCTGAGGAGAAAGTTTGAATGTGTCAATATAAAACAAAATGTACATCAATCTGTTCAGGCCCAAAATAACGCATTAAATATCTTTGAAATATCTCTTTTAAACAGTATCATACGCCATTTATGTCTATTTCTCACACATTTTCTCTCATATTAAACTTATGTAGAGTATAATAAGTTCTTAGCTGTGTATAACGTTAGGTTAATATAGCTTATTGTTGTTTGTTTATTTTTAATGCGTGACTAGCAGCGTGGTCTGTCTGAAACACACAACATTGCGTCCTAGTATAATCCTCCCATTAAGACGAATGACAATAAATCTCGACTTGACTTGAATGTAACTGTAATCCAGGTCAGTAAACCGTCCTCAAAGCGAGACCCAGAATAGACTCACTGGGCTCCAGCAGATCAGCGGGTCCGTGTCCGGATCCTCCACCAGCGTCCAGAGTTTGGTCAGAAACGCAGGCACATTGTTCCCGGTGACCACCACTCCTCCGGGCCCCACACTGTGATACTCCATCACGGAGAGTTTAGTGATGATTTCTGACGGTAATTAGAACGCTGTAACGAGTCACTGACGAAGCGCGGAGTCACCCTCGAGGTGAGGCTTTACAGATTAAACCGTTCAAACGAGCCGATATAACTCTCATCACCCCTTGAAGAGTCCGGATCCTGCTTAAAAAGTGATCGTTACGATTCAATCGAATCGATTTGGTGTTTTAGATGATCCAGAATAAGTGGAAAATTCCATTAAATCCACATCGCGTAGTAACTGCGTAGAAAACAAGAAGCGTTGGGAGGCGTCGCGTTGTGATGACGTAGGCGCGACGGATGTTTAAAAATATATATTTTTTTTTAGATTAATATAACTAAATACGAAAAATAAAAACGAAGATAATGCTATTTGGATTATTTTTAACCACTTAAAATTGTTAATCTGTGCAAATTTGAGATTTTAAAACGGCACGTATTTTACGTTAAACTTTAACCTTTTGCATCAGACGCAGTTGTGTTAAAACGCAATGGATTCCATCATATGTTATTTTTAAAAGATAACTCATTTGAATCAAATACGGGCTGGGTACAATTTATAAAAAAGTACGCCAAACAACAAGTGGAATAAATAAATAAATCGAACGCGTCACTGTTTGACCTTTCACCTCTTCGATTCAAACCCACATGGTCGCATTTTCAGCATGCGTCCAACTCACAGCGGCACCATGAGCAAATTAAAGAATAAGAAACGACATTTAGAGGAGAATGAAGAGGAACAGGTATGATTCGATGCTGTGTTTATGTAGTGTTGTTCTGAAGTACTCACACAGTAGTTTGATTCTACTCGTTATATAAAAACACGCGTGTTTATATAGCGCGCGGTTGACTTGAGGTGCTCTCACTTTATGAATTTGAGATTATTCATGGATTTAAACTTATATTATACAATTTATGAGTGTCAATTATGTATCTTCTCACGGCTAAGATGTCGGCCGTGTTTATAAACGTAGTGTTGTGTTGTGCTGTTAAAAATATGACTACCAGTCTGAAGTTTGAAAGCATTTGATGTAATATATATCAAACTAGTCATTTAAAGTCCTGTAACTGCCTGCTCTACCAAATGGTTGACCATGTTTTGACCGTTTAAAATTATGACTGTTTTAAAATTATGACTGTTTTAAATAATGGTTTACACACACAGCATTGAAGGTTTGCTGAAAAACCAAACATAATTCTGTTGCACTACTACACTTGGTTTTGGTTTTATTGTTAAAAACAGCAATAAAGCATGTTAAATGAGAATCTGAAATATTTATGGCATATTTCAAAACATAAAGATCATCTAGAATTCATAAATGTTTTGTTTTGGTCATGTTTTTAAATAAATTGATCAGGTTTTTCATAGTAAGTGTATTAATTCTGGTGCTTTTACCATAAACTGACTTGTCTACCATTTGGTAGAGGATAATATTTTAGAAATTATGGGATCTGTTGATAAAAAATGTATTGAGTGTGTTAACTAGCGACATTAGGAGTTAAGAAATGCTATCCAAAGATGCTTTTCTTGGTGGCACATTAAAGGGTTAAAGCCTTAGTGATTGTCCTTCTATATAAATTTGATCACGTTGTAGTTTTTAATACATTTCTGTTTAAATATGCATGTCATTATACAGTAATTGGTGTTTTAACAGTGAATTTGTTTTCATTGAGGTAAAGTAGGTTTTTATATTTGCACATTGGGGCTTTCTGTTTAATAATATTATTTCAGAAAAGTATTCTTTGCCAACAGAGTATATGCACACAGACTTTTAATTTCAGTCAGCCAGCCAGCCCCAGGACTTTAGTTGTTAATTGTCACCCCATACAGAATCACCACATCTAAGATCTGATTTCTTTAAAAAATAAATAAAAAAATCAATAATCTTCACTGCCTGGTGGAGATACAATATAAAGTGGGTCTCAGACTAAACAAGAAGCACTGCATTAAATAATTTTTGTCTGTAAAATATAGAAACTAATTTTACCATAGTACCCCATTACATTTTTAATGGAATGACTGCGCTCGCCTGCTGCTATTGACAGTGCCTGCTGTCTCTCTTTACACTTTTTATAACAACCAAATGGATGCTTAAGTCTATTTAACCGATTATATTTGAATTACATTACAACATCGATGCTTTAAAAGGAGCCGTATGAAATTGAAAACAGTCACATAAAGCTTTCACCTGAAGTTCATCATTGGCTGAAAAACACTAGCTGTGCATATAGCCCAAACTAAATGGAGACATACAGCATTGTTAATATATAGCAGGGGTGTCAAACTCAATTCCTGGAGGGCCGAAGCCCTGCACAGTTTAGTTCCAACCCTGCTCCAACACACTTACCTGTAGGTTTCAAACAAGCCTGAAGGACTCAATTAGTTTGATCAGGTGTGTTTAATTAGGGTTGGAACTAAACTGTGCAGAGCTGCGGCCCTTTTGGAACTGAGTTTGACACCTGTGGTATATAGCTACTCAGAAAACTAGATTCTGTTCATCATGCAGCAATACGCTTCGTCACAGGCGCAGACTCACGGACGCATCACTGTATTTTGTACGATTCCTTAGACTGGTTATCTTTATATCGAAGGAGATATTTACATCCATACTCATTTATTTTAATTAAAGGCTCTCCTAGGTAAATCACCACCATATCTTTGTAATTTGTTAGCATTTCACATAAATAACCAACACACTAGATCTGGTTCATGTATTCATCTAACACCGTGGTTCTCAAACTTTTTTCATCAAGTACCACCTCAGAAAAAAATGGTCTTTCTAAGTACCACCAAAATGGCCAGTATTGAAATACAATAGCGTAGCAGGCCCAGTAAAGCAGCTACACCTCAGCACAGTTAAAAAAAAACGTGGCAGATTACCTCAGGAATATGAGCTATATGGCATATTATATAGATCATTTTTAATAATTGTTTACAAGTGTGTAGCATGTACATGACATATTTCATTCCTCCGGGTACCACTAGAAGGAAGCCTGCGTACCACTTGTGGTACATGTACAGTACCACAGTTTGAGAACCACTGGTCTAACAGTCCCAAAGGTATTGTCAGAATTTGGCAAATGTGCGTTTTCCTTTTCTGCTCCCAGGGCTTGGAATGACCTGCAAAATCAGCTCAGTCTTGAAACACTTCCGAGTCCGACTACTTTTAAACATCTTTTGTACAACATCTTAAAGGACACCTGTAATTGTTATTTATGCTCTAATCTTTTTATGAAGGGTGATTTTGTAATTTCGTGGTATTGTGTTTGTGATTTTTACGTAAAACATATGTGCTGTCTGCCATCTTGACCAGGTCTCACTGGAAGAAGAGACAGTACTGTCTTAATGTGATCTCCTGGCTAAATAAAGGAAATAATAATAGTAATATTAATTGTTCACAGTCAAATTAATAGTGCTAATGTTGTTTTAAAGTCATACTTGCATGCTATTTTAGACTGAATGTATAAAAGTAACATGATAAACGATATGGGGACCGTGTCACAAGTTGTAACTTAGTTCAATAATGAACAAATTTGGGAATATAAAACCAACTTTACCTCAATAAACAACAAGATGCCAAAACTGTGTCAGTCAAAAGCAACTTCACCTCATTTTTTCATGGTTTCTTCCTCAGTTGCCCATCTTTGATAAGGACAGTGGTGAAGATGGTCATCTAGATGATGGAGATGAGGATCCGGCTGATCTGTCAGACAGTGAAGAGAGCGTTTTCTCTGGGCTTGAAGACTCGGGCAGTGATGATGAGGATGATGATGAAGATGACGACGAAGATGATGATGATAAGGATGGTTCTGAGGAAAAGAGCTCTGATGCAGAGGAAGACAAAGCCGATGATGATGATGGAGACCTCAAGCTTTCAGCCAAAGATGACGTCAAACCTCAGGTACATTAACCAGCATGTTGTTGACAATGCAACTTTTCTATTTCTGATGATGTTAACGCACTGTCTTTGGCTTTTACGGGGTGATTGTGTAAATATTGCATCTTTTATAGTCCTTTATTAAGCTTGACCATATAATAGGGTGTATGCTGAAGTATGCGAAAGGACTTTTAATTTGTCAGTAACCTAAGTAAAGCGCTTGCAGTGAACTGTATGCCATTACAAAATAGGTGCATTTAAGGTCTGTTTTCTTTAAAAATCAGCGATCTCCACTAGCTGAGGGATATCCGATATAAAGGGGGTCTCAGCTTGTGCAAGAAGCACTGCATTAAAGAAAAATTTTCTCTGCCATACCTGTAAAGGGCCATGAAACCCCCCGTTTCAGCAGGGTGTTTTCACACCTCTAGTTTGGAAAAAGTCAGGATAGTGGGTGTGTCTAGCTCTGTTTGAGTGGGAGTGTCGGGGGACGGAAAATGGAAAGGGTTTGAATAAAAATGGGAGTTGCCTCAGATGCACTCGGTAGGTCAGAAACAAGTGTGCCGCAAGCCTGTGAGTGAAGGTTTCGGCCGTTAGATCGCCCCCTGAGGGCTGGCTGCAGTACAAGTCATAAAGCCCGCCTCCTCCGTGTTAATGAAGGAGACTTGAGCCCAAATAAAAAAAATGATTACACTTGCAATAAAATGCCCCAAAAGATGGTTCTGGTCGATTAAGGCACTGGTTATTGTACTGAAATAGGTGCAGATCTTCACTTTTGTAAACAGTTTGTTTTTAGCAGTAATTTAATGCTGGGCGTGTCATCGTGATTGACAGCTGTGATTGACAGTTTCTCAAAGCAGCGCGTCTGAGCTTCGGCTGAAGACTGAAGTGTTATTATTCAATTTCTGTGTTATTTTACCATGACAAAATGAGTTCAGCAGTAAACTATAGTTTCTGACATACATGATCCTGGTGGAACACTGTTTATTCGCTAAGGTCAGGGCTTTTTTCGGGCTTTATTAGTTTGCTGATACACGCCTAACCACCCAGATAGCAAAATACACTCGAGCCAGTTCCAGCTAGATTCTAGCCTTCCGGAGACTTGCCCCTCAGAGCTCAGACTGACTACCTCTGCTGGACCTACTCCGGATGCCTGGACTCACTGCCCGATTCCAGCCCGAGTCAATCGAGCCAGATGCGGCAGCGCATCAGCCCGCGACGCCGCGAGTAGGATATATGCGCTGCGGTCCGGAGCTGGCGCGATTAAATATTTAAAACCCTCATATTTGTTAACGTTATTACATCCATTTGTGTTTATGACAGCAAACGCATGCTGAGAAGTTCGGGGGGCGTGGTTGATTTTACATAAAGCGTTTGGTTGGAAGCTCGACTCCGCTCATTTTCGCGGCTCCTCCTCTGGCTCCATCAGACAGTCCTTCTGCGCATGTCAAGGCTCCAATTTCAGCAGTCTTTTGCGACAGTTTGTGCCTGTCAAGCAGGCGTTTTGCCCTCAAGGCGTTCAATGGGAAAAGGGGCTGTCGCGTCGTCCATATTTTTTACAGTCATTGGTTGCAACCCTTATCAAACACACCTGTCTGTAATTTTCAAATGGATTTCAGGTCATAACTATTGACCTTATTCTAAATTGCGTAAGTTCGCCTGTTTTCGCGATTGTCTTAGAACTTCTGTTTCAGTCGCCTATGGGAGAAATGGCAAGGAATAATAAACGGCAAAAAACAGTCAAACTACTTGCTCTACAAACAAATGTTTGCATGACTATACAGACCAAGTAGAATAATATAACAAGGAAATATCAGTTTGCAACATCAAACAGCGAAACGAGCAGTTTCTAATGTCTAAAAATGAATGGAAGTGAATGAGACCGGAAGTCTCATGCCAAAAAGATTCAAATGGCAGCGCCCACTCGTCTGCGGAGAATAAGGTCAATAGCGGGCGTTTTTCGACTGAACTAAATTTATTTTTGATGTTTTGGTCACACTATTTGGAAGGCCGGAACAAATAGCCTCGGTGGTTGGGTTCGGCCTGCGGGCCGCCAATTGAATAGCCCTGCAGTTGATTTGATCATTAGTGTGATGCATGAAAAAAGAAACACAAATTGTAAGGAAAAATAAGATTCTGTACAATTTACTTTTTGCACTTAAAAGCTTTAGAGTTTTTAAGTGCATTTTTAAAATTTGGAGCTAACTGCAGGACACAGTCACGAAATCAGCTGATATTTAGCAGCTCCATCAAGGGTTGCATGCTGAATGTGCTGTTATAGTCTGGAAATCAAATGCTGTCAGGGCTTCGAGAAAATCGCTTTGTTACTTTCGTCCCACGTTACTTTCCACCCCGCTCTCCCTATTTGGTAGTGTTTTATATTTTGTTCAATGGTTACCGGTTTTCAGAAATCTCTAAAATATCTTCTTTTGTGTTCAACAGAAGAATAAAGCTTAAATAGGTTTTGATCAAGTGAAGTGTGAGTAAATGATGACAGATTTGTCATTTTTTGGGTGAACTATCCAATTAAGCTGCTTTATGGTGCTGAAAGGAGTGAATATGAGATGATCGTAGGACGTCCTGCTTTGGACATCAGATCTGTTAATCGTTTTGAAAGGTTTTTTTCTTCTGTGTATATATACTGTATTTGCAGCTCGCTGGACCGTACAGATGGCATGTCCATTAGAACTGTATTGCTTATTGCCAAACGTATTGCATTTAACTGACTTTCTGTCTTACGGAGTGTCACATTTCCAGACAGTGTTTTGGAATGAAGTACAGCGACTCCAAGAGTATTTTGGAGACGTCAACCAGACTAATGTCTGCATGTCGCTGCATTATGGAACATGATATCAAAGCAGCTTGCTTTGACTTTAAAGAAAGACACTGGCATTGGTGTTTATTCATTCAGCAGATGCTTTCATATTGAATTATGATTAATTAGAGGATAATAACAGAAGTGGTAGAAATATAAAGGTTCAAAGCTCCCTTGAGCCGCCTTCTTCACTACATTTTCCTTACAATATTGTCTTCGAGTACATCAAGCTATTTTTGCTGCCAACATGTTTTTTTTTGTGATTGTGAGTTTTTTTTATAAATGGTGTTTGAGTAATAAAAAAAAAATTAGCTTCCATTTCTGTAATTTCATACAAAATACTTTTTTAGACCATCCATTTCCAGAGCTTTTATTATTCGATGCGTTTCCATTTTAACTTGTGATCGCAAATAGAAATTTGTGTCTGATAAATAGTTGTAATTGTGCCTGATGAATTGAAGTAGTTGCAAAAAATTGACGTTTATTTTAAAGACATTTCTTTGAGATTTGAGAAATATGAAATATGGGTTGGTTGTTTTGCTCGGGTTTTATCTTAAAAATGTGTCCTAAATATTTGTCTGACCTATTCAATTGTCTGACCTGTTCGTTCTTATAAGCTTATTGTAGGAGTTTTAGCATAAATACAAAATAAATAATTTGATTCAAGTTTATATGTAAAGCGCTTTTTCACATGAATTCTTATTTCAAGACAAAAGGTGCACATAATTGCATTACAATCAACCAGAAAAATTTTTAACTTTATTAGTTACTAATAATTATCTATTAACTGATTGCTAATAACTATATCAGTTAAAATTTATATATATATATATATAAAAATAGGTTACCTGGAGTTATGCATGTAGTTTATCGGTGATGTTGTGTATGTTGTATCGTCAGAATCTTATATCGGCCCATGCCTACTACACACAGACAAGTAATTATACAAAGGAACTGTCAGTGCTCAGAGAATTAAGTGTAATAGCCGGTGGAATTTTATTTATTTTTACATTTATAGAGAGGAGTGTTTCGACGGGTGGTTTGTCAAGCCCACTCGCCTGTTTGAGGCGCACTTCATAATTGCACATTGTTTTTTGGGGGGATATGGAGTGATTGTAAAAATGTATCTGGTGTAAATGTGCAAAACTATGTGTCAGCGAGATTTGTGTTTTTTACAGGTGGTTTGTGAAGCCCACTCACCAGTGTGAGGCATACTCAGAATTCCATCTTTTTTTGAGGTTGTCATGTGGTGGTGGTGCACCTTTCAATCTCAGGGTTGCATGGTGGCTTAGTGGTTAACACTGCCGCCTCACAGCTAAAAGGTTGCTTGTTCGAGTCCCAGCTGGGTCAGTTGGCATTTCTGTGTGGAGTGTTGTCCCCTTGTTGGCGTGGGCTTCCTCCAGGTGCTCCAGTTTCCCCCACAGTCCAAACACATACACTATAGGTGAAATGTAGGGGTCTAACGATTTATCGGGGTACGATTTATTGCGACGCAAAAATGTCACAATATGCATCGTGGCGTTATGACGATTTTATTACGACATGACGTCCGTTTTCTCTTTTTAGCCGAGCTGTTTGCACGTGAGCTATGCTCCACTTGCTGTCGCACGTGAGTTCAGATTGCTTATTGCGGTATGATAACCTTGGATAAAAGTATCATGGTTTCACGGTATTGTGATTGATGCTCTAATATATCTTATTTTTGAATGTCTGTGTAAAAAAACAAAACTTTTTCCCCTTTGAACACAATATACTTTATTTTGAGAAACATTTAAAATATTTTGGAGCAGTAAACATGTCAGGCTAAATAATGAAAATGAATCATTGACTTCTGCTGTCTTCATTTGTTTCAGAAACACTGATTTCTTTACAATTTAAAATGGCATCTTCGGCTTTTCTGCTGGAGAAACTGCTGACCTAAAAAACAAACAAAAAAATGCAAATAAAAAAATCTCACACATACCTCAGGAATGGTATAGCAGAAATGTTTTTATAACCGTGACTTTTCCAAACTGCTGTATACCCTGAATACGGTAATCATCCCATGCCAAGTGTGTAGATATAAATAAAAAGTTATTAAAATTACATAAACAATAATTGAATTAAATAATTTAATTACTAAAATAATAAATAATGCTTAAAATAAATGAGTGTTTTTTTGAGAACTAAACACAAATTAGTATAAATGAAGCAAACAAATAAACATTAAAGT